ATCTAATTAAGAGATAAAGAAGGAAACTACATCTTGCTAAAAGGTACCATAGACAATGAAATGATATCAGTTCTAAACATATGCATCAGATGTATAGCATCCAAATTCTTAAAGAAGTTAAGTGAGTTACTGGAGGAAATAGGAAAACGATACTAGTGGAGAACTTCAACTTTCCCCTCTCAGAACTAGATAAATCTAACCACAAAGTAAACAAGAAGGCGATAAATAAAATTTTAGAAAAGTTAAGTATGATAGACTAATTTAGAAAGTTGAATGGGGATAGGGAAGCATATATGTTTTTCTCAGTGGTATAAAACACCTACACAAAAATTGACCATGTATTAGGGCATAAAAACCTCAATCAAATGTAGAAAAGTAGAAGTATTAAATGCATCATTTTCAGAACATAATGCCATAAAATTATTCACTAGAGGGAAGTGGAAAGTTAGATTAAAAATTAACTGGAAACTAAATAATCCTAAAGAATAAGTGGGTCAGGGGGAAAAAAAATCATAGGAACAATTTCATTAAAGAGAATGATGACAGATAACATACCAGAATTTATGGGATGGAGCCAAAGCAGTACTTAGGCTGTTGCCAGCAACTAAGAATCACACCTGACGGGAGAGCGTGAACTGAAGAAACATGGGCCAGGCAGGTCAGCCAAGACTGAACCGTTCATTCATCTGAGGGTCACAGCATATATAGAAAAAAGTTTGGAACTTCCAATTATCCCTTGTATGGGAAAACTATGCATATTCTGTAACTGTTACGGAATAATTTTCAAGGTTCAGAGCTGGGTAAAAAAATGCTTTCAGGACATACATCAAAGGAGCATACAATAAAAGTGTCAAGAAAAAAGGATTACATTATTTTAAACAAATGGTTACAAGGTAGAGATTAACAGTCAATTAACAGACCTCGACAATCATTCTCAGGGCTATCTCAGGTTCTTATCTCTAAGTATGTGACTAGTCCTCCCTAGTTTGCCACATGTTATCCCTCATGCCACACTTTTATTGTGTCACGGTCGGGCAGTTCCAGGAGCCCCTTAATGAAGAGGAGAGTAGTGAGCCCTTGAAGGTAAGAACAGGCAGGAGTTAAATTAACCCTTTTCTGGACTGATCAGAGCTGGCCCTCTCCATAGGCAAAACTTTATTTCTCTAAACTCTTACATCAGTAAAATAGAGAAAGAGCAGATTGGTGAACTGGGCATACAATTCAAAAAAAGAGAGAAGGACAAATTAAAAATCCCCAATTAAGCACCAAATTGGAAATCCTGAAAACCAAAGGACAGATTAACAAAATTGAAAGTGATAAGACTATTGAGCTAATAAAACTAGGAGCTGGTTTTATGAAGAAAAAAAAATAGAAGAAACCATTAGTTAATTTGATTAAAAAAGAAAAAAAAATTACCAGTATAAAAATGAAAAGGGAGAATTCACCACCAGTGAAAAGGAAATTAAAGCAATTATTAGGAAATATTTAACCCAATTAAATGCCAATAAGTCTGACAATCTAACCAAAATGAATATTTACAGAAATATAAATTGTCCAGATTAATCAAAGAAGAAATTGAATACTTAGCTTCATCTTAGAAAAAGAAATTTAAACAAGCCTTCAATGATCTCCCTAAGAAAAAATCCCTAGGGCCAAATGGGTTCACAAGTGAATTCTACCAAATATTTACAGAACAATTAATTCCAGTACTATATAAACTATATGGAAAAAAATAGGCAAGGGAGTCCTACCAGATTCCTTTTATGATACAGATATGGTGCTGATATCTAAACCAGGAAGAACTACAACAAGATTATAGACCAATTTACCCAGTGAATATTGAAAAATATAAAGTATTGAAAATGTAAAAATATTTAAAATTTAAATATTAAAATATTTTAAAATTTAAATAAAATACTAGCAATGAAATTATAAGCATCCTGCACTATGACCAGGTGGGATTTATACCAGGAATGCAGGGCTAGTTTAATATTAGGAAAACTTAGCAAAACTGACTATCAGTTACAAAACCAACAGAAATCATGATTTTTCTCATTAGATGCAGAAAGAGCTTTGGATAAAATGCAGCAACCATTCATTATCACCCCTATTAATAATATTGGAAATATTAGTTATAGCAGTGAGAGAAGAAAAAGAACTTGAAGGAATTAGGATAGGCAATGAGGAACTAACTATCACTCTTTGCAGAGGATATGATGGTATACTTAGAAAATCAACCAAAAAACCTCTTGAAATAACTTTAGCAAAGCTGAAAGATATAAAATAAACCCACATAAATCATTAATGTTTCTGTATGTTACCAACAAAGCCCAGCAGCATGTTATTTAAAATAACTGTAAATAGTATGAAATAACTTGGGAGTCTGCCTGCCAAGACAAACCCAGGAACTATATAAGCACAATTACAAAACACTTCATACAAATTAAGTTGGATCTAAACAATTGGAAAAATATCAACTGCTCGTGGATAGGCCTAAATATAATAAAAATGACTTCTATCTAAATTAATTTACTTATTCAGTGCCATACCAATCAAACTACCTAAAAATTATAAAGCTAGAAAAAATAACAATTCATCTAGAAGAACAAATGGCAAGAATATCAAGGAAATTAATCAAAGGAATTAAAAAAAAAGTAAAGGTGGCCTAGCTGTACCAGATCTGAAACTATTATAAAGTAGTAATTATCAAAACTATTTGGTAATATCAAATAGAGTGGTGGATCAGTGGAGTAGATTAGGTACATAGGACACAGTCGTAAATTACTGTAGTAACCTAGTGTTTGATAAGACCCCTAGTTTCTGGGATAAGAACTCACTATTTGACAAAAACTGCTGGGAAAAAGGATACAGTATGGCAGAAACTAGGTATAGACCAACCTCTTACAGCATATACCAAGATAAGGTCAAAATAGGTACATGATTGAGACATAAAGGGTGACACCATAAGCAAATTAGGACACCAAGAAATAGTTTACCTGTCAGATCTATGGAGAGGAGAAGAATTTATGACCGAACAAAAGAATAAAGATCTTTATGCGATGTAAAATGGATAACTGATTACGTTAAAAAGTTTTTACACAAATTCATTGCAACACAGAGTAGAAGGAAAGCAGAAACATGAGAAACAATTTTTACAGCAAGTGTCTCTGATAAAGGCTTCATTTCTCAAATATATAGAGAACTGAGTCAAATTTGTAAGAATGCAAGTCATTTCCCAATTGATAAATGATTAAAGGATATGAACAGGCAGTTTTCAGATGAAATCAAAGCTGTCTGTGGTCATAAGAAAAAATGACAAGTCAGTATTGACTAGAGAAATCCAAATGAAAACAACTCTGTTGTACCACCTCACACTTTTTAGATTGGGTAATATGACAGAACCGGTAAATGATAAATATTGGAGAGGATATGGGAAGATTGGGACACTAATGCACTGTTGGGGGAGTTTTGAACTGATTCGACCATTCTGGAGAGCAATTTAGAACTATGCCCATTGGCCAATCAGATCGTGCATACCACCAATACCACTAGTAGGTCTGTATCCCCGAGATCATTAAAAAAGGGATAAGGAGCTATATGAACAAAAATGTTTATAGCAGCTCTGGAAATCAACGGGATGCCCATCATTTGGGGAATGGCTGAACAAGTTGTGCTATATGAATGTAGTGGAATACTATTGTGCTGTAAGAAATGACAAGCAGGTGATTTAAGAAAAACCTGGAAAAACATATACAAACTGATACAAAATGAAGTAAGCAGAACTAGGAGAACATTGTACACAGTAACAACAACCTTGTGTGATGATCAACCATGAATGACTTAGCTCTTCTCGGCAGTACAGTGATCCAAACCAATTCCAAAGGAATTGATGGAAAATGCTATCCACATCCAGAGAAGGAACTGATGGAGTCTGAATGCAGATCAAAGCATGCTATTTTCACTTTGTGTGTGTGTGTGTGTGTGTTTTCGTCTGTTCCTTCTACACCATGACTAATATGGAAATATGTTTTACACGATTGCAACGTATAACCTATATTAAATTGCTTACTGTCTTAGGGAGAGGGAGGTGAGAGAGGGAGGAAAAAAATTTGGATTTAATAAAATTTTTAAATGACTGTTAAAAATTGTCTTTACATGTAATTGAAAAAAATAAAATATTTAAAAAGAAAAAAAATACTTGAAACAAAAAGCAAAAATAGATCTAATTAAAAGAGAGAAGCTGGGAAACTGTATTTTGCTAAAAGGTATTAGAGACAATGAATAGCAAAAATTTTTGCAGCAAGTTTCTCTGATAAGGTCTCATTTCTCAAATATGTACTGGGCATAGAACTGAGTCAGACATATAAAAATGAGAGCCATTCTTCAGTTGATAAATGATCAAAGGATATGAACAGTCAGTTTCAGAAGAAATTAAAGTTGTCTGTAGTCATATGTACTCTAAATCACAATTGACTAAAGAAAGACAAAGTAAAATAACTCTGAGGTACCAATTCACACCTATCAGAAATGACAAATGCTTGAGCAGATGAGGGAAAATAAGTCCATTAATGAATTGTTGGTGGAGTAGTGAACTGGTCTATCCATTCTGGAGACCAATCTGAAACTATGCCTAAATGGCTATAAAGTTCGTACCTTTTGATCCAGGAATATCATTCATCTTTAAGCACAAGTCTGACCGTGTCATCCCCTCAGTGTCTCCAGTAAATTCCATTAGCTTTATATTTCCTATCATGCCAAACTTCTGTAATAGAGCTATTTAAGATAGGCAAGGTGGAGGAAAAAATTCTTTAAACTGATTTTAAGCCCTTGAATATTTGAATTTGTTTATCTTCAGTTGCTTAAATCATCTTTATAGATAAAAATACAGGATACTGTCTTTTTGAGGGTCTCTGTTATTGATCTGTTTGTGCAAGCATTCATTTATTCCTGTGTCAACCTTAGATTCACATACTGTCTGTAATTTTCTCATTTTCTTAAAGGACTTGCTGTTGTGACCAAATATGTTACAAAGGGTTGGAAGGAGGTACAGGAAGCATATAAAGATAAGGCACTTTCCCCAGAGATAGAAAAATTGCTGAAATATCTGGAAGCTGTGGAGAGAGTGAAGCACACAAAAGATGAATTGGAAGTGATTCATCTAATAGAAGAGCATAAATTGGTTAGGGAACATCTTCTGACTAATCATCTAAAGTCTAAAGAGGTAAGTAAATCAATTTCTTAGAATAATTTACTCTCATTTTTATGTGGTCAAACTTAAGTATTCATATCATTAACATTATTACTGTTGTCAATGTAAGTATAAGTGGATGGATGCTTTTCTCTCATTTCTTTATGTCTATTTATATAAATGTAACAGGTGTGGAAAGCCTTGTTACAGGAGATGCCTCTAACTGCATTGCTGAGGAATCTAGGAAAGATGACAGCTAATTCAGTGCTTGAGCCAGGAAGTTCAGAAGTTTCTTCAGTATGTGAAAGACTGTGTAATGATAAATTTTTAAAAAAGGTAAGACTTATTAAAACTGAATTCTTTTTGACTGACCATAAGAATGTATGATATGTATTAGATGTAAACTCCCTGAGTGGAGTATCTGTGTTTTTAATCTGTGATTCTAAGTGGGCATACACCCAGGTCAGCCTTTCTGATACTTCTTTATTCTGTGGTTCTGTGTCTGTTTAAAGGAATGAAAGGAGAGAGAGCAATTACTGGACACATTTTCATTGCTGTAGGTGACTTTCAAGTGAGGAAACTCCCTCTATCAATATAGGTCCACACCTTCTCTGCAGCTTAGAATCTGAGAGCTTTGCCTGGAGCAGAAGTATCAAACAGTGTGGGCCACGTGGCCCACACGTGACAGAGTGTGACCTGAACCAGATAAAAATGTAATTGAAAAATATTTAAGAAAATACAATAAAACATAAATGACATTGCATTTTAAAACTATATCAGTTGTGCCCCTTTATGTAGGCATTAAGGGCCTCCATTTCCATTCGAGTTTGATACCATTAGCCTAGAGCCCTGAGAGGTTAAGTGACTCCCCTAGTCACATAGCCAGTGTGTGTCAGAGATGGGACTTGAACCCAAACTTTCATGGTTTGAGGTCAGCTCTCTACTGTACCATGCTACTAGATGGCACAGTGGTTAGAGTGCTGGGCCTGGAGTCAGTAAGACCCAGTTCAAATCCAGCCTCACACACTTAATAGTTGTGTGACCTTAGACAAGTCACTTAATAGCTATAAAATGGTAATAATATTGGTACCTACCTCCCAGGGTAGTTGTGAGGATCAAATGAGGTAGTTTTTGTAAAGCATTTAGCACAATGTCTGGCACACAATAGGTGGTATCTAAAATTTTGAGTTTTAAATTTTCTCCCCTTTCCTTCTCTTTCTCCTGTCCAAGATGGCATGAAATCTTATATAGATTCTGCATATGCCATCATATTAAACATATTTTCACATTAGTCATATTGTAAAGAAGAATTAGAACCAATGGGAGGAGCCATGAGCAAGAAGAAACAAATCAAAAGGAACAAACAAAAAAAAAGAGAGCAAATAGTCTGCTTCCATCTGCATTCAGACTCGAGTTCTTTCTCTGGATGTGGATAGCATTTTCTATCATGACTGTTGGAGAATGTTAGCTGTTTTTATTGTTGTTGTTCTTGTTAGTACACACACACACACACACACACACGTATACATACATGGTGAGTGTAGACTATTTTACTCTTTCTAGCAGCTTGGCAGTGGAGGAGGAAGAAAGAATGTTTGGATCTATGTTATAACATTTACATCAGAGATTTGGATAGAAGCATAGATGGCATGCTCCCCAAATTTGCAGATGACATAAAGGTGGGAGAGATAGCTGTCATAGTGTATGACACAGTCAGGATCCAAAAGAATCTTAACAGACTACAACATTAGACCATTAATAAGTTAAAGTTCAATAGAGAAAAATGTAAATTCTTATATCCAGATACAGAAAATCAATATAAGTACAAAATGGAGGAGGTACAGGTACATAACAGTTGTTCTGAAAACTATTTAGGGGTTTAATGGACTTCAAGGTTAATAAGAGTCCGTAGTATGAAGTGGCAGACAAAAAGAAGCTAATTTAATCCTAATACTACTTTAAAATAGGTAATGCAGCTTCCAGAAATAGAGAGCTGATAGTCCCACTGTACTGTACTTTCGATGGACCCTTTCTGGATATTTTTGTTCACTTTTGGGCACCATAATTTAAGAAGGACAGGAATTAACTGGAGACTTCAGTATAGGGGGACAAGAATGGTCACTGGCCTTTAATTCATGTTATGAGGATTTGGGCGTATTGAAAGGACTAGATAAATTTAGTCTGGAGAAGAGATGACTCAGGAAGGACATGACAGCTCTCTTCAGGTGTTTGAAGAACCGTCTTGTGAAAGGGGGTTTAGATTTGTTCTATTTGCCCTGCAGTACAGAACCAGGAGCAATAGATGGAAATTGTAGAGAGGTCAGTGTAAGTTTGATGTCAGGAAAAACTGCCTAATAGTTGTAGCTGTCCAAAAGTAGAATAAGCTTTCTAAACAGAGGCTAGATAGCCACTTAACAGGCATGTTTTAGTAGAGATTCCTTTGTTGTATGGGATGTTTGGCCTAGGTGGCCACTGAGGTCTTTTCCAACTCTCAAATTTTATGATTCTCCCCATTTCATAGGTACTAAATAATTACACCCTTGTTATAATAGTTATACAAACTATTTTTTGAAGTAGCTGGTTATTAAACTTCAAAAATAATTCATGCTCATTTGTGTATTATTGTCAGTGATCTCAGATTTCATTTTCCTTATTACCTAGTTGTAAAATACAGTATTTTAGTTAACATTTTAAAAATTAAAGTAGAAGTACATATTTTTCATTTATGTACTTCTTTGATGGAATTATATTAGCTTATAGCTCCTTGAGTGCAGAGACTTTGTCTTATTCATATTTATTACTTGCCAAATCCAAATGCCTAGTTTTATAAAAAGACACATTTTTTATAACACTTTACCTGACTTTCCTTTGCCACTATTACATTCTTTGTTGTTGTTGTTTAGTCAGTTTCAGTCATGTCCAACTCTTTGTGACCGCTTTTGAGATTTTGTTTGGCAAAGGTATTGGAGTGGTTTTCCACTTCCTTCTGTAGCTCATTTTACAGATGAAGAAACTGAGGTAAATAGAGTTAGGTTACTTGCCGAAGGTCACACACCTAGTAAATGTCTGAGGCCAAATTTGATCTCAGGTCTTCCTGATTCCAGGCCCAGCACTCTATCCACTGCACCATCTAGCTACTATTACATTCTACATTGTATTATATTTATATACACATTATATTCTCACCCATCCACTCCTTTCCCCCACTCCACCTAACTCCCACTTATTGAATTTCCTGGAGGGGAGGGAGTTAATTCAGAATAAATAAACAAATAGATTCACTTGACCTAAAGCACTGATTTAAAATTAAAGAGGAATACTTAAACTTAATTATTTTTACTTTTCAGGTTTCATTCATATTTTTAAATGTCTTTGATCTTATTTATAGGCTCGCATACATCCATTCCATGTTTTAGTTGCATTAAAAACTTATAAAACAGGACATGGGCTCCGAGGAAAAGTGAAGTGGCTTCCTGATGAAGATATTTTGAAAGCATTGAATACTGCATTTTATAAAACATTTAAGGTAATAATTTTATTTGTCTCAATTTTTTAAAAAGACATAGTAAAGATATAATATTATTTAATATTACTGAAATGCCATTACTAATACTTGTAAATTTTAGCCATAGAGCTGAAGAATTTTGATGAAGCATTGATTTTTTTTTTTAGTTAATGTGATTTTTTTTTTTTCCCCCAAAATTTTTGTTATTGTTTCTAAAAGTAGTTTACCTGCCTGCAGACAAAGTATCATTGGATTTCAAATCAGTTTAAGATACATAATTTCTGTACCATACTATTCTAACAATTTACTTTGAAATTTGCCTAATTACTATAGGATATGCTAAAATATTAGAATACACTTAATATGAAATTAAATTGGTAAAATAGAATTCTATGTTTAATTAGCTAGCTTCTAATTTGAGGAATATTGACACAATAAAATGTTCTGTTTCATCCTGGCAACCAAACTTTAGAATAGAGGGAAATTTTTGTTGTACTTAACTGCCATGACCAGAGAAGGGTAACAAATAATGTCAATTTTTTAAAAAATGTAGTTTGCACATGTAAATATTTCTCTAAAATTTGTCCTCATGAAATGCTGATTTAAATGCCAGTACTAAAATGCAAAATACTGATTGGCTAATCCAAATTTAATATTGATAAAATTATCTAATCATGACAAATTAAAGTTTTTCAAATTCAGAGGCAAAAATATAAATCATTGCTTATGAACTCATTTCTGCAATATTATCAGTGTGGATCTCCCTCCATTGATGTAGACTGTAGCTCTTCCATTTCTCTCTACACTTTGTGACTTTTCATCTTCTCTTATAATAACTTTGAGGGCACCTAACGTGCTTGGGACTTTTCCTTTCTTTTTCTTGACGTCATGAGGACACCAATGAAATATATACTTTCTATTAGTTATCTCTCTCTTTTACCATATGACCAACCTATTTTCTTTTTCATGAGCATATTTCTTTGGTGACATCCTTTATACCACTTCTTCATATTGCCTTGTTTATAAATTGTTGTAAACTGTTTACACCAAACATGCTTCTTCATTGCCTTTTGAGTGAGCTTCAGTTTAATTCTTTGCAGGCTGTAGTGTTCTGTGACTTATAGCCATACATCAGAAAAATAATGATATTAAGAAAGTTATCTTCTGTTTCACAGAAAAGTTTAGTGTCTTTAAAATAGCTTTGGAGTTTCACAAAGGCCACCTGACTTTCACTCTTCCTCTTATTCAATTCTGAGCCTAGCTTATTTTCTGTTTGTTGTTTCTGGCCAAGATGTGTATACTAATGGATGAACTCTACAGCTTTTCCCTGTACCTGCAAACCATAGACTGGACAATAGACATTCTTTATCTGCTTGTTGTTTGTGTTTTGTTTTTTTGCTTTGGTGAAATTGTATAATAATAATGATGATAATTGTATGTCATTTCTTCAGTTTCTTGCATTAAAGCCCTCTAAGACTTCTAAACTTCCAGGTCTGATGCCTCTTGATAATGAGTAACATTCTTGAAGGATGTACGAGTAGAACACAAGCCTCTGGCTGGTTGTACCATCCTGGAAAGACTGAATAGGAGCTGCATGATGAACTCTGTTGCCTGAGAACCCAGCCTTGCTAAATTCAAAGAGGCTTATCACTAGGTTTGCCACAGGATGATGATTTTTTTGGCTAAACGACCTTTTACTAAATTGTAGAGAAGTTATAATCTTCAGAGAGTAGAGTACTCATACTAATGAAATCATATATTCTTGAAGTATTTAAATATATTTAATTACCTTTTCTAAAATATAAGCATGATATCAAAAGTTTTTCCTTTAATTAGCAAATCAAACAGTCATCTCTAGATATGCCCTATGAAAGTGCTTTATTGGTAAAATGATATTAAATGTGAAATGTTAAGGAAAGATTTTTACAGAATCTTAGTTTTGGAAGGAACCTCAGAGAATATATAGTCCAGTAGATACATGAGTAGGAATCACCTCTACCATATCTGCCCAAAATGGATCTACCAGCTTTCACCCAAAGAAAGGTAATAACAAGAAACCTCCCAAGAGATATTATTCCACTTTTGGACAGCTCTAACTTGTTTTTATTTTTTAAAAGAAATCATTTATTTTGTTAACCATTTCCCTGTTACATTTTTTAATTAAAATTTTTTTTAACATTGATTTTTTAAAATTTTGAGTTCCAGTGCAGTTAGGTGGCACAGTGGATAGAGCACCAGCCCTGGAGTCAAGAAGACTCAAGTTCAAATCCAGCCTCAGACACTTACTGGCTTTGTGACTCTGGGCAAGTTAATTAACCCTGATTGCCTGCCTAAATAAATAAATAAAGGATAAAATTTTGAGTTCCCAATCCTTTCCTTCCCTCCTATCCATTCCCTGCTGTTTGAGAAGTCAAGCAATATGATATCCATTATACACATGAAGTCATGCAGAACATTTCCATATTAGCCATTTGTAAAAGAAAACACATAAAATAAAGTGAAAAAAGGATGCTTCAGTCTGCATTCAGAGTTCATCAGTTCTCTCTCTGGAGAGATATGGATAGCATTTTTCATCATGGATATTTTGGAATTGTCTTGGATCATAGCTAAATCTTTCACAGTTGATCATTGTTATAGTATTGCTGTTACTGTGTACATTGTTCTTCTGGTTCTGCACCTTGCATTAGTTCATATAAGACTTCCCAGGTTTTTCTGAAACGATTCTGCTTGTCACTTCTTATAGCACAATAATATTCCATCACAATCATATAACATAACTTGTTCAGCCATTCCCTAATTTATGGGCATCATATTTCCAATTCTTTACTACCATAAAAAGGGCTGCTCTAAATGTTGTTGTACAAATAGGCTTTTGATCTCTGTAGGATGTATACCTAGTAGTGGCATTGCTGGGTCAAAGGGTATAGACAGTTTTGTAGCCCTTTGGGCATAGTTCCTAATTGTTCTCCAAAATGGTTAGACCACCAACAGTGTATCAGTGTCCCAGTTTTTCCACATCCACAGCAGCATTTGTTATTTTTCCTTTTTTGTTATGTTCACCAATCTGATTGGTATGAAGCGGTATCTCAGAGTTGTTTTAATTTGCATTCTCTAATCAGTAGTGATTTAGAGTTTTTTGGGTTTTTTTTTTGGTGAGGCAGTTAGGGGTTAACTGACTTGCCCAGAGTCACACAGCTAGTGAGTGTTATGTGTCTGAGGCCAGATTTGAGCTCAGGTCCTCCTGACTCCAGGGCTGGTGCTATATCCACTGCACCACCTAGCCCTAGAGCATTTTTTATGTGACTGTTGATAACTTTGATTTCTTCTGAAAACTGCCTGTTCACATCCTTTGATTCATTTATGCTTTGTTCATTTATCAACTAATGACTCTTATTTTGATAAATATGACTCAATTCCCTTTATGTTTGAGAAATGAGTCCTTTATCAGAGAAACTTGCTGTAAAAAATTATTTTCTATTTTCTTGCTTTCCTTCTAATTTTGGCTGCATTGGTTTTGTTTGTGCAAAAACTTTTAATTTCATGTAATCAGAATTGTCCATTTTACGTCCATGATCTTCTCCATCTCTTGTGTGGCCATAAACTCTTCCATTATCCATAGACCTGACAGGTGGATTTTTCCATGCTCCCGTAATTTGCCTGTGATATCACCCATTACATCTAAATTGTGTACCCATTTTGGCCTTATTTTTGGTATAAAGTGTGAGATGTTTTTCTGTTCCTAGTTTCTGCTAAACTGCTTTCCTGTTTTCACAACAAAATTTTTTGTCAAGTGATGAGTTCTTTCCCCAAGATCTTGGATCTTTGGGTTTACCAAACACTAGATTACTGTGGTCATTTACTATACCTGTTCTATTTAGGTTACATACCTATCCTATTTCACTGATTCACCACTCTGTTTCTTAGCTAGTAAGAGATTGGTTTGATGATTATTGCCTTGTAATATAGTTTGAAATCTGGTACTGCTAGACTACCTTCATTTTTTTTTTCATTGATTCCCTTGATATTTTTGACCTTTTGTTCTTCCAGAAGATTGGGTTATTTAAGTATTCTATTTCCTCATCTGTTAATCTGGGCAGTTTATATTTTTGTAAATATTCATCCATTTCACTTACATTTTCAGTTTTATTGGCATTGTCTTTGGGCTGAAACTAACTCCTAATAATTGCTTTAATTTCCTCTTTATTGATGGTGCATTCACTCTTTTCATGACAGCTCTGATTTGTTAAGAAGTTTTTCCTTACATCAGGCCAAAATTTGTTTCTTTGTCACTTCTACCTGTCTTTCTTATTTGTGTTGTCTGAGATCAAGAAGAACAAATCTAATCCATCTTCCATTCATTCATTCATTCATTCATTCATTCAAAAGTCATTTATTAAGATATCCTATGTGCCAGGTATCTTGCTGGTGATATAAAGATAAAAACATTCATTGTCCTCAAATGGCTTGCATTTTATTAGGTGAAAATAACCTGAACACAGATAAGTAAAATAGAAAATACAAAGTAATTTTTGGGTTCTTAGACATTAGAATCTAGTAGGTCAATTTAAGCTGGGCCATGAAGGAAATTAGAGATTGTATGATGCAGAAATGAGGAGGGATTTATATTACAGTCAGAGATGTTACCTGTTTGTAGAGTTTGGAGATTGAACTTTGTATTAGAGGAAGAGCAAGTGGACCAATTTGACTAGAATGTAAAGATTGTAAAGAGATTAATATGCAGTAAGCCTAGAAAGATAGACCAGAGCCAGATATTCTAGAGCTTTATATTTTATCTTAAATGTAATAGGGAAGTATTGGGACTTCTTGAGCATGGAGTGACAATGGTGAGACCCACGTGTGCTTTAGTAATTTCCTTTGGCAGCTGTGTGTTTTAATACCTAATTTTTTCCTCTTTTAGACAGTTGAACCAACAGGAAAACGTTTCTTGCTAGCTATTGATGTCAGTGGTTCCATGGACCAAAGAGTTTTGGGCAGTATACTCAATGCTAGTACAGTTGCTGCAGCAATGTGTATGGTGAGAAAGGCTTTTTTGCATTTTGTTCTACTGTAAAATGTGTATTACCTAACCAGGTTGTAAAGCACTTATTTTAAAATATGATTTGATATGATGATTAAATTAGGCTTTCATTTACTTTCTGATAATAAATACTTTTAGATTTCATGAGGTTTTGTTAAGCCAAGTCTTTGTTACATTGACAGAATGCAAATAGTGAATAGATTATACTTTTTAAACAGTGAGGAATTAAATGTTAGTAAGAGTTTTGAAAAATTGCTCATAAAAACTATTTAATAGATATAATCTTGGAAAAAGTAGTGAACTAGGACTCAGTTGACCTAGGTTCTATTACTGATTCTGTCACTGTCTAAATATTAGGTAAGTCATTTAGCTTCTTTAATTTTCAGTATCCTTATCCATAAATAGAGGAAATACTGTCATCCTTATCTACCAATCAGGGATGTTGTTAGGATCATATGAAATCATAAACATAAAAACACTTTCAAATGTATTAAATTACTTACATATGCCTAAGTTATGTATTAGTATACTTACTGTTTCAATTTAGAGTTTTATGTGCTAATTGATGAACCTTTCCTAATCTATTTAAGATGACTATAATTGGATTTTTCAGGTTGTTGCAAGAACAGAAAAAGATTCCCATATAATTGCATTTTCACATGAAATGGTACCATGCCCAGTGACTATGGATATGACTTTGTGTCAAGTGTTGAAGGTTATGGATGAGGTAGGTAACAATTTTGTGAATATTTTTGTTGAAGGTAAATATAATTTGCTTCATTATTAGATCTAGTCCAAGAATAAAAAAACATTTTCAGGTGGTAAACAGAAATTCCATTGTATTGAATTCCACTATGTATAGGGCACTATACAAGGTAATTCAAGTAATGAATAGAGAAGAAAGTTTCTTAGATGAAAATTTTTCCTGCTTTATTTATTTTTTATTTTTTTAAGACTATGTTTTCCTATCTCACTCAGGCTGTTCCAGTACAGGGATTACTCATAGGCCTGTCCCACTCTGATCACCATAGTAGCTTTGACCTCCTCTGCTTCTAGCCTGAGCCTCTTCACACTCAGCCTCCCCCTCTTTAGGTCTAACATTCCTAAGGAACATCATTATATATGAACTTAGTGCAGACACCTGATTGGCTTAGCCCACTGCAACCCAAGCTCAGGAGACCTTAACTGGCCTTACCTTCTGGGGAGGCTGGGGTTACAGGTTTGTGCCACTGTACCTCACTTCTTTGTTTTATGAAATATTGCTTATTTATTTTCATAATATAGAAATAATAGGAAACTGGACTGTGGAGGATAGATTGAAGTGGGGAGACTTGAGAAAAGAGACCAATTAAAAGGTTATTGTAGTGTTCCAGTAAAGAAGAAGGGTCTCTGAACTAAGGTAGTGACTATATGTGAGAGATGTTGTGGAAGTAGAAATATGGCAGTTCACTGATTATGTGTCCTGAGGGAAAGTAAGGAGACAAGCTGATAATGCTGAGGTTATAAACCTGGGAGCCTGGAAAAATGATGGTTTCTTCAGTGGAAATTTGGGATTTTGGCATAGGGCTGGGCCTGTGGAAAAAGATGAGCTCTTAGATGTTGATTTTTGAAGTGTCTCCCTTCACAGGGAGAAGTTTTGGTATAAAGGCAGTTTTATTATAGTGCATATGATACAGGTCATAAATTCATGTATCAAAGTACAATGACAAGCAAACTAAACTATTATCTTAAATACCACACTAATATATCCCCTTTGGGCAGAAAGACTAGTTATCTTGAACAACACACTCCAGTTTAGGTGCTTAATATATGTATAAATCGATAAGTGAAATGATTCTAAGTTTGTTAGATTTATCTAATTTACTAAGATACTGTCTTATACTTGATGTTCATTTTTTTTTTTTTAGATTCCAATGGGTTGTACCGATTGTTCTCTCCCAATGATATGGGCTCAGAAGACAAATACAGCTGCTGATGTCTTCATTGTGTTCACTGATAATGAGACCTATTTTGGAAGTGTCCATCCAGCTGTGGCTCTGAGGGATTACCGGATGGTAAATTGGATTTTGATATTTTGTCTTATGACATATAATCCTGAAGTGTTAATATATTCAAAGAAAAATGTATGACAGCCTATAGTTTTGCTCAATTGTGTAGGAAAGAACAGTGGTATTTAGTAATACTAGTTATGTCCTTAGAATTAGGCAGGTATAAGAAAAATTATTGGACTGATAAATTTTTAAAAATTTTAGCCATTCTTAAAATACATCACTAGTAACCTTAAGAACATATATTTCTAAGAATAGGGAGAAAAGATATATGTGTAACTCAGCTGGGCTTATTTTAGTCATTTTAAGAAGCTTGATAAATTCAAGTAGGATTTCTGAAATGTTAAGGTTTACATAAAACCAAAGCAGCAAGTATAAATTTCACTGGTAGGTGGTGCAGTGTTTAGAACACTGAACTTGGAGTCAGGAAGACCTCCAGTCTCAGACACTAGCTATGTGATCTTGGGCAAGTCACCTGACTGCTGTTTGCCTCAAGTTTCCTCAGCTGTAAAATAAGGATCATAATAACATCTTCCTCTAGGGTTGTTGAGAGTATCAAATAAGATATTTGCAAAGCACTTAACACAGTGTCTGGCACATAACAGGCACTTAATAAATGTTTATTTACTTCCTTTCCTCCTTCCTTATTTAAATGGTGATTTAAATGTTTTATAAATAACTCATTTATTCGATAAAGAAAAATCCTTTTGCAGCTTAAAAAAGCTGTAGAGAAATATTTACTTATATTCTTTTAATGGTAATGCTAGAAGGAACTATAGATCATCTAATTGAAATCCCTCAACATACATGAGGAAAATGAAATAAAGACCAAAAAATTTAGTGAAATGCTACCTTTGGATGAAGCATCAAGGCATTAAAATTAAGCACATTTCTTAGACTTAATTCTTTCTTTTAAACTTAAGCTAAAACCTTAAGAGAATTTTCTTATTTCTAAATAAAGCAAGGTTAACATTGTAAACATAAAAAACTTATGCCAAGATATTATAAGGGATATTTCCCACTGTTACATAATCAAAATTTTGGAACTTTGGCATGATATCTTCAAACATATCTAACTCAGTGACTTAAAGGTTGGTAGATTTAGAAGGGACCTTAGATGCTTTATTAAATCTATGACAGAGGAGTTTTAAAGTAGTTAAAATTTCCTATATTTTATCATTAGTGTAGAAATTAAATCCATATTTAAAATAATCAAAGTTTTCATCTATTTAATTTTACCCTGTGGATCTTTTTCTTTCTACAGAAAATGGATATTCCAGCTAAATTGATTGTTTGTGGAATGACCTCAAATGGTTTTACCATTGCAGACCCAGATGATAGAGGCATGTTGGATATGTGTGGCTTTGATGCAGGAGCTCTGGATGTAATTCGAAACTTCACAATGGATGTGATTTAATCTTCTGGCACCAGCACTTCACTTCATGTCCATTGCTGGCAGTGGATTTTGCTACAAATATCTAATAACCAGCTAAACTTAACTGAAAAATGACAAAACATATCAGAAAGTTACCCTTTTATCCTTTTTTCAGAAGGAAAGTAAGAACCTAAAATTACTTTGTTGTCTACTATATGTAATTTAAACTGCAAATAAATTAAACTCAACCAATATTTTATAAAGCACCTACTACTAAACTCACTGTAGAAACTTTACCTCCAACTTCTACTTAGAAGAAAAAATTTGCATTCTGATGCATTCACTGAAGAACATTTTTGCTTTAGAAAATCGTTAATAATATTTATTAGGTGAGAGCCAAAAATGAAAGTGGTCTTGACATCATAGACTATGTGCCATTTTAAACAATTTGCCTAAGCTGTGTTTAAAATTTCCTGTGTTCTCATTCAAAAAGGATAACTTTGATACTTCTATTGTTTGAATTCCAAATACTAAACGTACTCTTTGGGTGCACTAGACCATGTAACTGTGATGGAATATAAAAAATGATCTGTAAAGTTTTCTACTTGGGGCAGAGGAGGGATAAGGAACAGGGGATCATACCAAGAAACTTGAGGAAGTAATCAGAGGACATCTTATCCCCCAAAATAATTTGTGTGATCTTTACGATCACATTTTTAGTAGTTTTCTTACATATTGAAAATCAACTTTAACAATTTTTAATTAGCACTGATAGAATGCAAGGTAGGTAATCAGAAAACAATAGCAAATTCTTTGATTAGCATCTTTGTATAAGTTTATATTTTGATAAAGAATTGTTTTCTAGAGGAAAAACATTTAATAAGTTGCTCTGGATTATGAGAATATTGACATAAATTCACTACTTAAAAACAGTTTAGCTAGTCTTGACAATTCCAATAATCATCAAAATTAAACTATATTAAAATTTAAAATTAATCCTCAGAAATGAAAATTTGCCTACTTTGAAAGTAGATATTTTAAAATAATTATGTTCTTAACCATTATTTTAGCTAATTGCATATTAAATGAATTTTTATTATCTATAGTATAAAACAGCCACTAGCCTCCTATTGCCAGTTATTCTTTCAGGTAACACAAATTTAGTAAACTCTTTTCTGGTCACAGAAAATATGTGACAAAAGATATGTCTATGGTAACTTTGCAAAGGACTTTGTGACCAATCATTGTTTATGAATTAAAGCAATAGTTCACTAATATCTTCAGGGAAATTTTTTAAAATTGAGTGTGGTTATTAAAATTTTTATTTAGTACACCAGAGTATGCTAAAGAACAAATATACTCTTGATAGGAAATTTTCTTTAATTTTAAGCTTAAAACTTCATTGTTCCTAATTTTCATATGATTATTCCAACAGTAGTCTCTCAATATTAAAACTTTAATTTTTCATTTATTATTTTTTAAAAATTAGTGTGTAAGAAGTAAAACTAGCAAATACAGATCTTAACTTTCCACTTGCTTAGCCATTAGAGATATGCATGTGTTTGGTGGGGTCAAACAGTATTATTGTAGTTTATATACATAAGTTTTTTCTACTTTTCGGAAAATTTTTTCAGAACAGTAATTTTAGAACTGTGATAAAGCTATTATTGCAACCATGACTTCAGATAGCCTGGTAGCAGTTTCAAATTGCTTCCTGCATGAGTCATACTATAGTTTCTTCCATACTTTAAGGATGTATGATTCTATTGTTGTCAGTAGCTTCTCCACCAAGGTAGATTACAATCTGTCAGTTACTAGGCAGTGTTTGAGAGCGGCCATGGCTAAAAAACTTATCCTTCCTGCAGCCAGCCTGGCAGTGAGCATCTCTTGTCTAGCTAAGGTGGTCCTTGTATAGCAGTTTATCACCAGGCTACTCCTCAAAAGCCCTTCCAGCTTGGTAGAATCCGCCAGACAGCACTTCCTAGATTGTGAGAATATAGGCCATATTTTTAGTAAATCAAGTTGTTACCAGAAAACATTCTTTCTCAGAATGCATTGTTACTTCCTATACTTCTGACGACATAACCAAACCTAAGATATATTTCTAAAGTATTTGAATTTTTTAGCTTTCTTATCAGATTTTAAGTGATAACATGTTAAGATGTTTTTGATACCTAAAACTGTCATACCATCCAGACAGAATTTAAAGAACATTTGATGGATGTATATAATTAGTTATTAAAATTACTTTTTGAGTACAATTTCCTAAGTTAAAAAGTTAGAAATACAGGATGACTACTCCTTGTAGAAATGTTGAGATAAAGTATAAAAACAGAGACTTATTACAAGTGTAAAATATTTCTTTTTTGTATCTATAAAGTCAACAATCTTTTATAAGTATCTTCAGGAATTAATATCAGAATCATTCAGAGAAATAATTGTGACCTTGGGAAATATAAGTCTAATTTAAAAGATTATGGGGATCATGATGTAGATGATGGATTGTTTTGTTTTGTTTTGTTTTTTTAATTAAAGTACCAGAGACATTGGAGAAAATTTGTTTAAGCTGGTTTTTAAGGGCTTGGTTTTTTTTTTTCCCCTAGTGATAAAATAAAGTTCTTTTGGGATGTTAGAAACAATATCTGTCACTTTGGTTAGCCTTTTAGGAGAGGGTTTTAGAAAAGGTTGTGTGTAAGTTTGTGGCCAATGTTAAAGGACCATGTTACTCCTACAGTTTCCTCACAATTCACGTTGACACAGTTTGGGAGTTGAATGTGTTTATGGGAATGACAAGGTGCTGTTAACTTACCTCACTGTAATAAATATACTAAGGCACAAATTCTACTTTGTGAACCATTTTTAGCTTTACTTCAATTATGAGAAAAAAAAGTTGCTTTTATAATCTCAAATACTACATATTACTATTATACCCTAATTTTCCATAAAAAGCAAACATAATCTTTCAAAACTGAGGCTGGAGAAGTGGTCTTGTAAAGGGAGAGATAGGAACTTGATGGCCACCTAAAAGTATTTGAAGAACTATCACGTGGTAAAGGGATTGTGAGATTTGTTTTGCTTGGTCTCAGAGGGCAAATCTAGGAACAAATGGGAAAGTTGCAAAAATATAAATTTAGGCTTGAGTAAGGAGTTCCTAATACCCTTTCCAGAAATGTTCTACCTCAGGAAGTAGTAGGACCCCACTGCATCCCTTCCCAACCCCACCTCCCCTTCCCCACTAAAAGTCTTCAAGCCCAGGCTGGATCACCATTTGTTGGGTAAGTGGTAGATTGTAATGTTGTTCAGATAGGAATTCTACTTTGCAAAGTCATAGAATAAAATTTAGTGCTGGAAGGGACCAGAGAGTTCATCCAGTCCAACCCTTCCTCCCTATACCCCTGCCCCCCAAAAATTTACAGATGAAGAAATAAGTTGAGTGATTAAGTGACTTGCCCCCTTATATCACTGAGATAGTTTTTATTCTGTTGATTAAATAATTAAACAAAGTTTTTTGCTAGTTCTACCCTACAGGCTAAATAGTGGGCAGGTCATGGCAATTCTGTTTCATTATTTTATAATAAATACTTGGTCATGTAATTTAGCATTTTTTGTAAACATTAAGTACTTTTGATTTAGGGATATTAGATAATTTTGTTTAGTTAGCTATAACTTTTGTTAAACATCTCTGGCATCTCAATTGCTGCATGACTGAACCACTTTACAACTCAGTTCTCTAGCTATAGAAAAATATAACTTGTACCTGAAAAGGGTTTGATCTTTGTCAAGCACTTTGAGAATCTGTGGGAAAAAAATCTGTAGTATAAGTAACATTTTATTAATCAAAGACACTGCTTGTAAGTTTGTGATCTTCTTTTGAAATATATGGCCAGTGTACTTTGAAAACCACTTTACTTAAATAGGCTTGTTTAAAAACAAAATATTTATCTAAATTATCTTGTGAGAAATAGGTCAGTGGGGATTGGGTAGAAGCATGGAAATAAAATACCAAATCTACTCAAGTGGAATCAAGGACTCAAATTTTGAATGAGGGAAAGTCCATCAGAAAACATTTGACCTCTTGATTTTAAAATTTATTCTTTAAACTGCAGATTATTTTAAGGGACTTTAATCTTCATTTCATAACATAATTTTTTGCCATAAGAAAAATTATGCAAAATTGAGAAAGAATCATAGGATGTGATCTTTTATCTTTGGGTGATGCACCAGAATTTCTGAGTAAAGTTTAGGATCTGACACTGAATATAAAGATTAATATATTTTAAAATTAAAATTGTTCTCATCTGTGGTTGAATTTGTATGTAGCTTAAAGAAGTTATAGTTAGTAATCCATAAACATACCACTATAGCTTAGGAAACTAGTGAAAAGGCACTGTTTATCAACAGTGTTTTCATATGACATACATTTGATAATGTGGTAGAGGCACTGTAAATATAAGAATGTACTATCACGTTTAAAATATATAAATTTCAAAAACAAGTTTAACCATATAAATAATAACCTTGTATTTATTGTACATACTTCTGGTCTTAGGTAACTAATTTCCCACACTACATCTTTTCTACCTCTTAGTGATACTCTTATCTTACTACCCTCCTTCTTATACTTAATTTTTTCCCTCTTATTAAAAAAAAAAAAACATTATTTCCCTTTTGATATCTTATTCCAATCCTGCTCTACTGGGGTTATGCACAATTGTAATGTAGTACATATGAATCAGAAAAAAAGTAAATTTTAGTTTTGGCATGTTTATTAGTTTCTTTGCTTATAGGACTATTCTTTTAAATGCCTTAAAAATTTAAGATTTTGATATTTAGTTTTATACTAGCAATATCTGAACAATGTGCAAATCTACTGGGAAAAAACCTGAACTTAATATCTTATCCCTAAAGCAGTTGTGATAGCAGTTCATCACATAGAGTGTGTTAATAGCTGCCCAAAATGTCTTAAGATCAGATAGTCTTTAAATAAAAAAATTAGAGCCAACCATATAAGAACATTATTCCACCCTGGAAGTAGCATTACTTGAATAGGTCTTCTAAGTAAATGGCATTTTAAAATTCTGTGTTCTCATTATTAGAGTCAATAAAAATCTGCATAAGTACTAGAAGTCTCAGTAAGTCTGTTTATACAATTAGGGCATAAGAAAATCACATAAGCAAATAACTTTTATTCAGTCTTCATACTTTTACAACGTACCAAATCATTGGATTTTCTTTGGAAAAGATTGTCTTAATCATGTGTGACTTTTTTTACATGGTAAACTGACAAGGGAACAAGGGCATTAGTTAACTCTACCTTCTGGATAAATATGTAATAAAGTTACTTTTAAACACTGAAAATATCAAATTGTACTAGAAGTTTTATAAGCAGTAAAGTGGATAATATAAATTGTGGGAATTAAAGTTGGTAAACCTGTAACTCACAGTTATGATCGAATTCTCTGTGGAATTGATGATGAAATTGTGTGGCTAGCTAGCTGTTGTTTCTGATACTGTAAAGCAGATAGATGTTTTCTTCTGGTTCCACAGCTGTGGAGTTTCTGCTCCACTTAGAACCTACACCAAAACAACTTTTGTAACCAAACAAACAAAAATATATTCTCTTGGTTGTTCTTTTAAAAGTCAGGGTAGTAGGGTTGGATATTGATATACAAGGTCACACATAACTGTTGGAATATGCAAGTTAAGAACTAATTCAAAACCGTTATTAAAGTTTTGAAATGAAAACTTGTTAAGTTTTATTCATTTATAAATGGGAACTATTTTGGAAACTCTATGGCCCCATAAAGGACAAATTACAGTTGATGTGTAGTAAAATTATTGACAGACCTGTGTATTTTTGCTGCATTAAGTAGTCCTGAATAGTGTACATACAAATTAATGTAATAACATGAGTATACATGTACATGTCATAATAGGCACCTGAAGATCATGCTTTTGAGTTTCAGCTTTCTTCTGGTGTGAGGTCTAGCTAATACAGAAACTGTAATTTAGTTCTGCAAAAGTAATAGTTGTATGCTGTATAATAAGGTGCATTGCTTTCCAAAATCTGTCACTTTTGCTGTTATTGTGTTATGACAAGTTTATATAAAGTAACAATTCAAATATTTTTAGAGTGGGTAGAAGCCTTAAAGTGGAAATTTCAACTTTTACTGCCTTAAAGTGTCACATTCCAGTACAAACAAGTATACAGGGTCTCAGTATTACCATATACTGCCTTAAAAATGTTGAACTAGTATTTCTGAGGTATAGAACTTCAGCACGTTCTTTTAAACCGAGGCTTTCTAGTTTTGTATAATGACTGGAAATAAACTTTAAATTTAGAAACTTTACATTAGTTTAATTACCCTTTTATCAGGCAAGCATGGACACTTTGGTGTTTTGCATATACTATACTAGTCAAAACATGGGCACCTTCCCACCCCCAAATCTGATTTGTGTAAAATACTACTCCTGGTGAAAAGGTCAGAAAGAAAGGTGATGAAAAAAAATAACGAATATAGACAAGAATGATGATAAAAATTACTAGAATTTTTATTTGTTTTAGGAAATTTTTAACTTTCATAGTAAATATATTTTATACAGTAATTTTGCATATTTTTGTCATTGTATACCTGGGCTTTATTTTCCCCTTTTCAAAAATCTCATTTTAGGAAGGTGCTTCATACTTATATCTATAACAATATTCTTTTAATACACCTAGGAACATTTGATAGTTTGATTTTTTTTTTACTGCTTTACATAATTCTAAATAACCTAAACAGAATATTAAGATTATTAGATGACCTATTAGAATCATGTTGTATTAATAATCCTGTGTATGGGACATGTCCTCTCTAGAAGCTTATCTCCAAGAACAATGAATTTTAGAAAGCAGGTTAGTAGCATTTGTTCCAAATTACTCATATAAATCAACATATAAAAAGCATACATTCCATGTACGTGACTCAAAGAAACCTGTACTGGAAAATAAAAAAGTAAAATATAACAGTTGCAATAAAAAAATCTAGGCCAGTGGTTTGGTCAGTTACATACCTTACACACCTTTCGAACTTCACTGTTTTTCAAAGTGGAAATAGTTTTTAATATTAAAAGAAAGGTCAGCCATACACAAACACAATCCTGACTTAATAAAATTAAGGTACATATATATGATTCTAAATTCTGTAGAAAGATTTTTCCTAATTCTCCCTATTAATACTTTACAAAATCTTTGTAGTTTCCTCTGTATATAAACTTAACATATATTGACATTTTTTTCAAGGAAATGTCTATGTCTATTAATTGTGGTATTATGGAATAATTCTTCAGCTACTTTAGGACTTTCACATCACCTCTCCTCCTGAGCCTTGGATGAACAAACACAACAAGGAGTAAAAATCATTCTTTAGAGACTAAGGCAAAAAACATTAAAACCTTTGTGAAATGCTACTTGACTGCATACTTACTGTACAACTTGAGATGAACAATAAACTGTATATCAAATTGTCTTTTTATTTCTCATAAAATATTTACAGTGCTTAGATTTTAAACAAATTTAAATTTGTTTTATAATAAAGAAAGGGTAACAGGCCCTTGCAAAGCAATTCTTCACATTAAGAAATTTTTGAACAGATGACACACCAAAGTTAATATTAATTATATAACTCACCTAAAATCTATCTAAGAATTCCACTGGAAAATGTGGCTTGGGACACCTCTTTACTGTGCAATAATGACTGACTATCCAAGGATGAGGTAATGAGTGTAATTCATAATGAAAATGCAATTATTAACATCGGCATATGACATGAGCATGAGTTCTAAACACATAAGCCGCTAAAATATAGATTCCTTTGAGGGAAAAAATGTTTAATGAAATAGAATGAAGCAGCTATGAAATAGGCTTATAGCAATCAAAAAAACCTGATCACTTCTCTCAGGTTGTTTTAGACAAGAATAAACTATTACCTGTGGGCAAATAAACATTTTGGGGTTTGTGCCCAGCTAAGTTTTTCTCGAATTTATGGTAATGCAGCTGACTCATGGGACCAGAAACTAGGCCCTAAAACACAACACTTTCAATTCTTCAGTTTCCATTCTGGGGCTCATGACCCTAATTATTGAGTGCCTACTTCATTTTAAATGTACACACACACCCTTACCTCCTCCCCATCTCACTATCCACACTTGGTACACTGCATGCCCACACCTCCCCTCTTTGCTGCTTTGCAGCTATCATCAAGTCATACTCTTTCTGCTACTGGAAACTGACTCCCCAAACTCAAATTTCCCTATCTAGCCATTAAGCAACATATGAGCTGTTTTTTCCCCTGGTAAGCTCTGATTCTCTTTTGTCTTTTATCTCAGTACTTAGCTCTATTCCACAGAACTTGGGTAACACTAAGCAATTAAATACTTTTTAATTCATTTAACATACTGAATAATACTCAAATTCAGGCCAATTTAATTCCTTTAGAATCCTGTTGCTATAGTTCTACATTTTAGTTAAAGCTAATGATATTATGAAAAGGGAAGAAATTAAGACTGCAATTTTCTTTATGAATGATCAGTGCCCTATATAAAACATTAAAAACTATTGAAGGAATTCTAACCATAAACTTTTATTTTTGAATACACATGATTGAAAACATTTTCCCCAATACACAAACTTGACAATATGGTGGGGTGGAAAGAGTGTGCAAATTGGTCTCCTAATAAAAATCCCACAATGTAGGTTCGAATCCCACCTCCAAAATTTAGCTGTGTAACCATAAGCGATCATTTTATTTCCCTGTACCTCAGTTTCCTCATCTGTAAAACTTGCACCACTGTATCTGCACTATTTTATCCCTCAGTCTTGTGAGATATCATCACCTGATATAAATGTCAGTTACTCATCACATTTCCATCTTACTGTTCCTAGACTTTATTATTAAAACTTTGTATTGGTAATACTTTCCTCTTTTCTCAGAAGAGTGCTTCACTTCTCTCCTCCAACTTTCCCAACTAATATAGTTGAGGTAAAAGCAAAGAAAACGTATTGATAAAACAGTGAATGAAACAAATCGTGTTTTGGAGGGATAATATCCCCTAAGCTTCACCTGTTACAACATAAAAATTAAAATTATAATGGAATGAGGTCTTGTATAATGCAAAAAAAAAAAACAACAAAACCCCAACAATGACAAAAAAAAACAAAAACAGTGGCCCAGGAGGCAGGAGACCTGTATAACAATCTAAAATAGCAGGATGACCTTGAGCAAATCATAAAAGCTCCCTGTTACCTCAATAAAGGAGGTGGAAGAGACTTACGGGGTTTTAATTCTTAAAATTCTGATAAAATGAATTTAAGAGATTTCGTAACTGTAAGGTATTGATGTTGTAGTATTCCCACGCTCAACGCAACACACACGTTTTCTCTCTCTCTCTCTCTCTCTCTCTCTCTCTCATATGGGAGTCAAACAAAGTAGCAGAGAGAAATAGAAACGTCAGTCTTGCTTAACGTTCATGTAGACCAGGGGTTCTTAACCTTTTTTGTTTCGTGGAGCCTTTTGGCAGGCTAGTGAAGCCTATGGACCCTTTCCAGAATGTTTTTGTTTTAAATTCATAATTGGAGGAAATGCCAAAATTTTGTTAGAGGTTGGTGAAAATAAAAATGTAATTTTTTTTCTAGCCACGTTCACAGACCCTACCACCCTGAAATCTATGAAGAGATCTGTGGACACTAGATTAAGAAGACTTTTATTAATCTGTAAGGCAGAGTTGAAATGAAATGCAAAGTTCAGCAATAAATGTTGCCAAACCAACTGTTCTTATAAAACAGACTAAGCCAGGTGGGGAGCACTGAGACCCACCACAGGCTCACCTGACACAGGTAGATTAAATGACAATAACACTGAAATTAACAGCTGCTCTTGCTCCTGCTCTAAGAGTTCAAATGTTGGGAGATTTTCTTCAAATTGCATCAATATTGTAAAATATAAAATTAGGTTAGCTTTTTAAAGACATCTAGGGTTTTCAAAATAAAGATGTCTAGTGTTACCGCTTTGAACCAATGGCATTGAACAAAATCCCTCATCCATATTTAGTAATTATAGCAAAAGCTGTGGTGTTCTGAAAGTTTTTCTTGGAATATCGAGAGGTCTTAATATCTCTATCTTTAGTAGTTGAGTGCTTTCTCATCTCCTTCAAATTATCATATACAAATATGCATTATTTCCCCAGCAAAATGAGAGGTCCTTGAGAACAGGACCTGTTTCATGTTTTTGTTTTTGTACTCCCAACATCCAGCACACCATGTTCCATGTAATAGGTCTTAATAAATGCTTGTTGGACTGGACTATAAAGTTCAAAGAGTCTCAGTGTTTTCTGTGTAGTGCATATAAATTTGAGGGGGAAAGAAAAACTTGCTAGGAAAATCCTGATTACTCTGAGCTGCCACTTTTTAAATGGGGTATTAATCAGAAATATATTACGTTCTTCTACCACAGAAGCCTGTATCTTTTTCTGTGAAGGTGTTTTCTCCCTCTGAATTCTCAACCATCCTGGCATAAAAACGTGTAGCTAACTCTTTTCTAGATGTCACATACCCTACCCTACACAAAGCAGACGCTGAGTAAACTGGTACTAATGATATAAGAGATTGGAGATAAAACTTGATAAAAATAGGAAGTGATTAAGACATGCTTTTCCTTATTTATGCTGTAAGCTGATTTCCTCTTGCATTTCAAATCTGGGTTAAGGGGTTGGTTTAAGCTGAAATATTTATTAATCAACTATGAGTTACTAGTTTGGGTTTGGGATATATAGCATTCTTAGGCATATACTGATAAAATTTTAATTAAAATTCTAATCTAATGCAAAAATCTTCTTTACAACATGCCAGATAGATTGTAATCCAACTTCTGCCTAAATATTTTTTACACGATGGGAAATAAACTACCTCCTCACAAAACAGCCCATTCTATTTTAGATCAATTCTAATCATTATAAAGTTCTTTATCTTTTAACACACCAAAAGCAGTATCCTTATAATATCTACCAGTTAGCTGTAGTACTGCAATCTGCAGTAACAGTCAACAAAGAAGGATTAATTTATTTTCTTTATGATTGACTGATTCCCATTCTATTTTCCTAACTCTACACAAAAGCTGTATAGTCGATGATCAAGAGTGACATCTAAACCTTGATTGGGTTTAACAGAAGTTAACAGAAAGAAGGGTATCAAATCTGTAATCCTAATCCTTAGCTTTCAGTTTTCATATTAACAGTCCTAACAATATCTTAATATTTTCTACGAAAAGTTGTATTGCATCACTGTGTGATTTCACTGCTTAACTACAAAATTAAGAATACAAAGTACCAGTCTCCCTGTTGCCAAAAAAGTTAACCTACCCTTAAAGTGCTATAGGAATAAAAATATTCAGTAGGTTTCCACAGGTCTTTATTGTTCATCATTTCATAGGCCATTCTTTGAGAAAGATTTCACATTTTCAAAGAATTTTTTAAATGTTTTATAAGCAAAATGACTAAAAAGCTGACATTTGCCAGCACAGCCAAAGACAGTCTACATTACTGTCTGAAATTCTTTGCTCCAAACTTTTTTAAATAACACTGATGAACTAATGGAAGCAGCTTGCCTTCTTTGTGAAGCCTATGAGTATCAGTTGCTCCTCCAATAAAAGTCCCATTGACAAAAATTCTTGGAACCTGTTTAAGTATATAGAAAATAGGTTAGTTAGTATTTTATCTTTTCGCAGTAATATATATATATATATATATGATACTGCCTTATACACTAAAAATATAAAAATATCTATCACATTTAATTATAACGTATATAAACAGTTCTTGCACATTATAAAAAGCTTTCCATATGTATACAAATGCAAATAAATACAAACATATGTCTACACAAAGGATCACAAAACTTAAAGCTGGAACGGCCCTTAGAAATCATCTAGCCTTGGTTGTAAAAATTCTTTCCCAATTTTCTACTTTCCTTCTAATCTTGGTTGCATTGGCTTTGTTTGTGCAAAAACTTTTCACTTTAATGTAATCAAAGTTATCCATTTTGCTTTTTGTAATGTTCTCTATCTCCTGTTTGGTCATGAATTCTTCTGTTCTGCATAAATCTGAACTATTCCTTGCTCTCCCAGTTTGCTTACAATATCATCCTTTATATCTAAATCATGAACCCATTTTGACTTTATTTTGGTATATGGTGTGAGATCTTGATCTATGCCTAGTTTCTGCCATACTCTTTTCCAGTTTTCCCAGCAGTTTTTGTCAGAGTGAGTTCTTATCCCAGAAGCTGGGGTTTTTGTGTTTATCAAATAGTAGATTACTATAGTCACTGACTACTGTGTCTTGTATACCTAACCTATTCTACTGATCCACCACTCTATTTCTTAGCCAGTACCAAGTAGTTCTGATGATTGCTAATTTATAATATAATTTTTACAACCAGCCTCTCTGAGAAGGACCTCATTTCTACAATACATAGAGAATTAAGTCAAATTTATAAGCATACAAGTCATTCCCCAATTGATAAATGGTCAAAGGATACGAACAGGCAGTTCTCAGATGAAGAAACTAAAGCTATCTATAGTCATATGAAAAAATGCTCTAAATCACTATTAATCAGAGAAATGCAAATCAAAACAACTCTGAGGTACCACATCACACACATCAGATTGGCCAACATGACAAAACAAGAAAATGATAAATGTTGGAGAAGACGTGGGAAAATTGGAACACTGATGCATTGTTGGTGGAGTTGTGAAATGATCCAACCATTTTGGAGAGCAATTTGGAACTATGCCCAGAGGGCTATAAAAATGTGCATACCCTTTGACCCAGCAATAGCATTTCTAGGGCTATATCCCAGAGAGATGTGGGAAAAGGACCCACATGTACAAAAATATTTATAGCAGATCTTTCTGTGGTGGTAAAGAATTGGAAATTGAGAGAATGCCCATCAACTGGGAAATGGCTGAACAAGTTGTGGTATATGAATGTAATGGCATACTATTGTGCTATAAGAAATGATGAACAGGCTGACTTCAGCAAAACCGGAAAGACTTGTATGGTCTGATGCTAAGTGAAGTGAGCAGAACCAGGAGAACACTGTACACAATAACAGCCACGTTGTGCGATGACTAATATTGATAAACTTAACCCTTCTCAGCAATACAAGGATCTAAGACATCTCCAAAGGCCTCATGATGGAAAATGCTATCTACAAAGAAGAAAGAACTATGGAGTTTGAATGCAGATCAAAACACAGTATTTGCTATTTTTTTCCTTCTGTTGTGTTTTGTTTCCTCTTTCTGGTGGTTCCTCCTATTGGTTCTAATTCTTATTACTACATCACTAATGTGAAAATATGTTTAATAGGAATGTATATGTATAGCCTCTATCAGATTGTGTGCTGTCTTGGGGAGGGAGGGGGAGAAAAATTGATTGTTGATAATTCAAAATAAATTAACTTTTAAAAAATAGTAAAAAAATTTTAAAAAAGAAATCATCTAGCCTTTGAAAAAAATTTTATTTTTCCAATTACATGTAAAAACAATTTTTAACATTCTTTTAAAAAATATTTTTGATTTCCAAATTCTCTCCCTCCCTCTCCCCCCCCCACTGAAGAAGCAAACAATTTGATATAGGTTATACATGTGTAGTCATGCAAAACAAAAGAAATCATGTAGTCTTACAATCTCATTTTACAGATAAGGAAAATGAGGCTCAGAGAGGTAAATCAGCTCATATAGCTAGAAAGAGATAGAGCTGAGTTTAAACCTAGGACATCGAGATCTAGGCTAACTTAAATGCCATCCCTTTCATGACATTTTCTCACCCCTCCTAGTCGATAACAGTCTTTCCTCTCAGATGCTTATTTTGGACCTCTCTAATGCAGCTAGGCGGCATAGTAAATGGTGGTGGGCTTGGTGTCAGGAAGACTTAAGTTCAAATCCTACCTCAGACACTAGCTGACTGACCCTGGGCAAGTTACTTAACCTTTGTCTGCCTCCATTTCCTTTTTTGTAAAAATGGAGATAATAGCACCAAATTCTTATTGCAGAGCAAATGAGATAACATAAGCAAAGTGCTTTGGAAACTTAAAAGTATCATATGAATTCTATCATTATTATTATTATTTAGCATGTACTCTTATGTTGTACAGTTTGAAAAGAATGTGTACAAAAATATATATTATGTTTTATATACACACATGCAGAGTCTCCACAATCCAACCTACCTTTCTGGTTTTCTCTCAAAACTCTGTTCACACATATTATACTACAACCAAACTGAATTATTTGTTATTGTCCCTACACTTGGCTACTTCTGTGCCCACTCTTTCCTCTTTCTGGAATGCCCCAACTTTTAACTCAACAACACTCCTCAAATTTCCACAGCCTGATTTGATCTCTCTTCTCTTTGATTCTTACAGCACCTAGCACCTTTTCTATAGCACTTACCTCACCTATATGGCATTTAGTGTTTTGTGTACACTTTTCCCTTTCCTAATATACTAAAAGCTCATTGAGGGCAGGAGCAGTATCTTATTCATCTTGTTTTTGTTTTGCCTTTTTTGCTAGACAATGGGGTTAAGTGACTTGCCCATGATCACACAGCTAGTAAGTGTCAAGTGTCTGAGGCTGGATTTGATCTCAGGTCCTCCTGACTCCAGGGCCAGTGCTCTATCCACTGCACCACTTAGCTGCCCCTCTTAGTCATCTTTGTATTCCTTATAGCACCAACCATAAGGCCTCATACAAGCCAAATCTTCAAAAAGCATTTGACTGAATTGACACCTATTTCATGGTTAAATATTACGAGAAATCTCTAAGTTTCTGAGGCTAAAACAGTTGGAAGACTGGCTAAGCCCTCCATTACTCTAAATGATAAATTCAACTATATTAATTGAATGAAAACAAAAATAACCCAAACAGGATAGAAAAATGCAATTAGAAGGGAAACATCAAGCTTTCAGTCATATGCTCATTGGCAAACAAAACTGTCCCAAAAAACCAACGGAATAAATTACATAGAGTTAGTGTCCATGTGAACGCCTATTGAAAAAAAAGTCCTGTGAGATTTCAAAAGGTCACAAAGATCTGCTTACTAAGAAAAAAACTTCTGATGCATACTCCTCACCCTTTCACAGGTGAACCCTTTCACAGAGGGACAGGAGAAAAATCTATACATTGAATAATTGTGCTGCTTCTCCTGTCTTGCCTTTTAGTTTTAGTCCCCAAAGGGCTGGCTCAGGAAAGTACCACTTACTTGACTTGAGGACCTAGGCCTCCTCCAATTCTGTGTAACCACAGACTGAACTCAAATGTTTGCTGGGGACTTGCCATAGGTCAAGTACTGTGTTAGGTGCTGAAGAAGATATAAAGATAACTTTGGCATAGTCTTTACTTTCCAAATGGATCATAATGAGGCTAAGGAAGATGAGTTATATATATACAACTATAATACAAAGTAGAATGTCCTAACAGAAGCACAAAAGAAATACTAAAAAAAAAAAAAAAAGTCCACATTTTTAAAATAGGGAATCTAAAGAATTTACTCACAGTTCTTGCACCAGTCATTTTGTGAAGAGCATCCTGAAACTGGCTTCCATATTTATGCATGTCCAATTCCACTGCAGTGTATTTTATATCCATGTCATTAAAAAGTTTTTTTGCCATTGTACAATAAGAACAGGACGTTTTTGAGAAGATCACTACACAATTATGTGAAATTGTTTCCTATAAAGAAATGCATAATTTCATTCTGGTTAGACTTTGTGTAGTGACAAGTGGAGGTCTAGGCATTTTAATGGCACTAATAATCAAAGAAGTGCAAATTAAAATTAAAATAATCATAAGGTCTCATCTTACCCATCAAATTGGCAAAAAAAAAATTTAAAATAACAAAAGGTGCTTGAAGGGGTGAGAGACAGGTTTTCATTTATTACTGAAGGAGCTTTTCTCTAAGAGAGAAATTAGTGAATTCACAATAAAAGTTACAAAAATAAATCATACCCTTTAACCTAATAATTTCAGTGTCAGAAATCTACTCTAAAAGTGTTATGAAAACAAATAAACATAAAAACTATCTCTTCAAAAATTTGCAAATCAGTCAAGAAGCATTTATTAAGCACCTACTATATATGCCAGTTCCTCTGCTACATGTTGAGGATACAAAGGGAAGCAAAAACAATCACTGATCTCAAGGGGCTCATAATTGATTAGAAGAAACAACATACAAAGAACAATGCACAAAAAAGATAGAATAAATTAGAGATGATCTCAGAAGGAAGATACTAAAAGTAAAGAAACTCATGGAAGGGTTCTTGAAGGAAATGGGATAGCTGAGATGTGAAGCCAGGAAGCAGAAATGAGTAGGGTGGTGAAAATTCCAGAGATGAGGGGCAGTCAGGAAGAATGCACAGAGTCTAGAGCCATAGTGTCTTGCAGAAGGAACAACAAGGAGGCCAGAGTCACTGGATCATAGAGTATGTAGAAGGGAATAAAGTTTAAGAAGACTGGAAAAGTAGGAAGGGATCAGGTCATGAAGAGCTTTAAAAGATAAAGCGAGGCATTAGGGAGTCACTGCAGTTTAATGAAAAGGGAAATGACATAGGCAGACCTCTATACTATTTCACTTGGTGATCTCATCAGTTCCCACGAATTTAATTATGATGTCTATGTTGGTAATTCTCAAATCTAAATTGCCCTAATCTCTTTGGTAAACTTCTATCTCACATCTCCAACTGCCTTTCAGTTATCTCAAACTGGATGTCCAGTAGACAAGGGCTTCTTAATCTTTTTCCATTCAGGACCCCTTTTTGAATTTCAGCAGCGTTCTCTGGGTGTTGTTTGGCCTGAGGGCAGGAACAGTGTAAAGTAGACTTGTTTTGTGTTCAGAACCAAGGCTTCAATGAAGTTGCACAGGCAAGTGCTGCCAGAAACACCTCAGATTCATTATCCATTTGATTTTTAACTAATTTTTGGTCTTGCATGTTCAGAAACCTTTTACTGTTGCCAAATTTTTCAAGACCCCATATGGGGTCACAACCCATAGTTTTAAGAAGTACTGAAGTAGACATTTTAACTCTCTATGTCTAAAACAGAACTCATTATCTTTTCCCCTAAACTTTCCCCCACCATTTTTTTTTTCTTTTTAGGCAACTGGGGTTAAGTGACTTGCCCAGGGTCACACAGCTAGTGAGTGTCAAGTGTTTGGTCTGAGGCTGGATTTGAACTCAGGTCCTCCTGACTTCAGGGCAGTGCTCTATCCACTGCACCACCTAGCTGTCGCACACCACTTTCACTTTTACTGCAGTAGGCAACACTAACCTCCCAGATCCTCAGGTTTATAATTTAGGAGTCATTCTGGATTCTTCTTATCTCTCATCCCCTTCCTCCCTGCCCACATCTAATCTGTAACCAAGGTCTGTCAATTTCACCTTCGCAACATCTCTCCAGTACGCCCTCTTCACTCCTCTGACACTGCCACCGCTCTAGTGCTGGCTCTCATCACCTCGTGCTTGGACTATTGCCTGATTGGAGTCTCCACGAATTCCAATCCATCCTCCATTCAGTCACTAAAGTGATTTTCCTAAAGTCCAAAACTGACTAAGTCATTCCCCTACTCAATAAACTTCAGTTGCTATATTGCTTCCAAGATCAAATACAAAATGCTCTGTTTGGCATTCAAAGTCCTTCCTAACCTAGCCCCCTCCTACATTTCCAGTATTTTTATACCTTTCTCCCTGCCACATACGCCTCCTGGCTTTCCCATGTACAAGATTCTCCACCTCTTGGCTCTGGGCATTTTCTGTCCCCCATGCCTGGAATGCTCTCCTTTCTCAACTTCACCAAGTAGCCTCCCTGTCTTCCTTTAAGTCCAAACTAAAATCTCACTTGCTACAGGAAGCCTTCCCAACCCCTAATTCCAGTGCTTTCTCTTTGTTAATTATTTTCTATTCATCCTGTATATCGATTGCTTTATATATATTTGTTTGCATGTAGTTTCCCTCATTAGGTTGTAAGTTCCTTGAGGGCAGAGACTATCTTTCAACTCTTTTTGGACCCCCAGAGCACAGTGCCTGGCACACAATAGGCACCTAATAAACGTTTTAATTGATTGAATGCTAAAACAAGACTTGGAAACTGACTGGATATGTGGGGAGGGAAGAGGAAGGAATCAAGTATGCCTCAAGGTTGCAAATATTGGTGACTGGAAGAACAGTGATGCTCTAAACAGAAATGGGGGTGCAATGCAAATAAGACAGATGAGTATCAGGGATACAAAGAAGTCTGAAAAGACTTTTAAAAAATAAAACAAATCAAAAAAGCAGAACCAGAACTATGTAATACTAACTCTGACAATATGAGAAGAGAAATAAATGATAACAAATGTAAAAAGAATCCTATCTTAGAGGAGGTATAAAAAGTTATATTTAGTACTGTTGATAATGAAGTTTAATTAGTACAGCACTGTTTATAATCTTTTTTTTAAAACCCTGAAGTGGCTTGTAAATTCAATATGAATTAACAATTTTAGCCAAAAAGTATAATGAGATCTTATGTTTCATTAACAGATGCAAACTAGCTAGAACAAGTTAGAAAACAGCTCCCACTGTAATCTATTCTATTTAGAGTAAATCTGTCTTACTATATTCAGATTTGAGTACTACAGCTTGGGAAGGAGATTTAACAAATTGTAAACACATGCAGAGGAGAAGAACCATGATCAGTCAATCAACAAGCATTTATAAAGCACCCACTGTATATCAGGCACTGTTCAAGGTACTGAAGATACAAAAACAAAAATGAAACAATCACTTCCCTTGGGGGCAAGGTAATAACGTGGATGTGCATACACATCTATGAATGTATGTAAGTATGCATGTCAGTAAAAAATACACAAAAGGTAATTCTGGCAGGAAGGACACTAGTAAGAGAAAGGGCTTCATGAAAAAGGTGGCATTTCAGCTTTGAAGGAAACAAGGGATTTTAAAAGGCAGAGCTGAGAAGAAAGTACATCCTGTGTACTATGAGACCCAGGGGTCACTAAAGTGCAAAAAAACATCAAAGGGCAAAAAGCTGGGGAAAGGCCGTGCTAGTCTGGCTGCACCACAAATGCAGTGAAGGAGAGTAGTATTTAAGTATTAAGTATTAAGGCTGAAAGGGTAGGTCTTGGCACGAGTAGGGGGGTCTTTAAAAGCCTGGGGAGTTTATATTTAAATCCTAAAGGCAGTAAAAAGTCACTAAAGATTCTTGAGTAGGAGTGTGATTTAGTCACTCATGGGCTTTAGGAAAATCCCTCTGGCAGCTGTGTGGAGAATGGACTGGAGAAGGACACATGAGACAGCCCAAATATGAGGCCACTGTCATCATCTCAGGCAAGAAATAAATACAGGCCTGAACTAGGGTGGTATACACGTAAGGGAAAAGAAGAGGGCAGTAGGAGAGACATTGAGAAAGTAGAAATAGCAAGATTTGGCAACTGATTGGATGTGTGGAATCAGGGAGGAGGAGTGGAGAATAATGCTGAGGCTGTAAAACTGCATGTAAAACTAGTTATACAGTGGTTCCCTCAACAGAAATAGGGAACTTTGAGAGAGTAATGGGTTGGAGAAAGGGTGGGGAGGGGTGATAAAGAGGAGAGAAGAAAAGTTCTATTATATACATGTTGCATTTGAGATGCTTCTAGGACATCCAGTTTTGTAATATCCAATAAGCACTTGGAGATATGTGAATGGAGTTCAGGAAAGACAGTAGGGCTGATCTGAGTCATATGCATGGAAATCATAATTAAACCAATGCAAACTAAGGAGGGCACCAGGTGTTAGTGTATGGGGAAGAGGAGAACCCAGGACAGAGTCTTGGTTTACACCCACAATTAGGGGGTGTGAAATGGATGAATGAGCAAAGGAGATTGAGAAGTAGTAGTCAAATAGATAAGAGCATGGAAAAAGATAAGTTTCATAAAGCCCCAGAAAAAAGTATCCAGGAGGAAAGTGTCAAAAAGAACAGTGTCAAATTCTGCCAAAAGGTCAAGAAATTTGACAAAATGTTAGCGGACATAGCAATTCAAAGATGATTGTTTATGACCATAGAATGATAAGGGTACCAGAGATGATGCCATGAGGTACAGCTGAAGGAATTAGTGATTTTTGATTTGAGGAAAATTATACTTGTCTGAGACAGTATGTGATGGCTGTCTTCAAACATCTGAAGGACTATTGTGTGGAAAGGTAATAATAATAATAAACACTTAAATATTGCTTTAAATTTTGTAAAGTGTTTTACATATATTATCTCATTTGATCTTCACCACCACCCTGTAAGAATCGAAGCTATTATTATTCTTATTTTACAGATGAGGAAACTGAGGCTGGGAGAGGTTCAGTGACTTGCCCAGGGTCACACAGCTGGTAAGCGCCTGAGGCAAGATTTTAACTCAACACTTCCTACCTTCAAGTACAGCTTTTTATCCACAGACATGTTCTACTTGCTTCCACAGCGTAGAACTTCAAGTAATGGGTAGAAATTGCAGAAGGGCAGATTTCAGTTTATTATAAAGAAAAACTTCCTAACAAACTAAAGGTTCTCAAGAGATGAGTGATTTACCTTGGCAGGACATAGATCTCTCTATCATCAAAGGTTTTTAAGAGGAACCCTAGTAAGAATTTCATCTTAGGTATAGGGTAAACAATATAATTTTTGATGTTTTTTTTCTAAATTTCATCTTCTAGGATTCAATTTTTTTAATGTTAAATTTAAATTCCTTGATATAAGCATTAACAGTAGCACATCTTTTAAGATTATTATAACTCGTAATAAGTAATTTCAACATTATTAATTCCATACATTAATGGAATAAAGGAAAAGAAAAATAGAAGGCAGATTTTACTGAGCTAACTGGGTAACAAGCTGAAAAAGATAAGGGAAAAAAGGAAGGAGACTACAAAGGGTATGTGTGAGAGAAAAGAGCAAAGAAAAGAGGACAAGAAAGAGGAAAATGGTATTGCATAATCTAAAACAGAAGAAAGGAGACTATAGTGAAGAGGTACCAGCTTAATTAGGCTCTCTACATCAACATCTCGATAAGCCAATAGCACAGCTTTGTGGCTGTGCAAAGTGACCTCACTGGGGAGAGACAACATTTATCTAGCCACCCAAATGTATAGGACGGATATTAATCAACTAGATTTTTACTTACTTGAAGCCCAGGACTCATTAGTCCCAAAGATTATATATTCTTCATAGATTTTTTTTAAATAACAGATTTTAAAATATTACTGAATTAGCAAATATTTTGCTGAACTACCAATGACATAAAGTAAAATGTTAAGTAAAGCCATTAAATCAATTAAGATTATAGAATTCCCTTCTCACAATCAAAAAACTGGTGTTGAACTGCACTCACCTGGATCTGATTTATAGGAGCAATTTCTGATTTATCCATGGAAGAGGATGTTCTGTTCCCCATCCTAAAGGGGGAGGAAATTTAAATTATACAACTATGTGTTTTATACATTTTAAGGATAATAAATTATAAATGTAACATTTTAAGAGAGAAAATGTAAAAATATAAGATACAAAACAGATAAATTAGGTGAAGGCCATTCACACAAGAAAAAAGATCACTTACTTAACCAAAGTATTTATTGAAGAGTTACCTTGAATGGTAAATTTCCCACCTCTAATTCCTCAAGTACATTTAATGATCAGTTTTACATTCAACTTCGGGAATTTACTGTGCAAGTATGACATACCTAGACTCCAGTACACCACGATTCCACAGAGATTAATCAAGAAAATACATGTCCATATTAATTTAAGTTCAGTAAACTTGCTCCTATCCTAAAATTTATTTTTCCTATATAACCAGAAGTTTAGCAGTTTAATACTGAATTTTCAAAGGAAGGTTTTTACACTCTGGACCCCCCCCTTTTTTTCTTTTGCAGAAGAGGTTTTAAAACACAGTGAGAAAATGACTACTGCCCTGATCCTGCAAAGTTCAGCATACTCAGAACTTGAATGAAAGAGGGGAGTGCGCTCTTATTCCCAACCTAATGCTTCTACTGTTATACTACATAGAATACCCTTTTTCTGCAACAATCATTTCAACAAAGAAATTTTTTAAAAAATCTTATTAATTCTGATAGATGCCCTCAAAAGTCCCACACTGAAGCATAAATCTTTTTTAACTTGACAATTAGAGTCTAAAAACTGGGATCCTTCTTCCCCTAGTCACCCATTCACTGCTTCCAAATCTATAGTAAGTGAGTCCACTTTCTCAGGAACCAGTGATAATCTATTCCATTGCTGGACAGTTCCAGTTGTTGCAAAAGGTCTTTATAAAGCTGAATTGACATCTTCCTGTCTTCAATTTCTATCAATATAGGCTTACTGCTGACCTCTGGAACAATACATGACAGGTCTATTTTTTCCTCTAAGCAACAGTCCTTTAAATATTTGAAGTAAAGTAAAATGTCTCTCCTTTCCAAACTATCTACACATCCTAGATTCTTCCAACTATTCTTTATTATCACTTTGCAAGGCTGAGATCACTATCCTGTTGTACTATGCTTGAAAACACTCTTATTTGTTTAAAAAAAAAATGGCACCCACATTGTGGTAGTATTACAGATGCATGTCTGACCAGCTCTAAATAGTTAGATTATGACTTTCCCATAATCTAAACACTATATTTCTCTTAACACCTTTTTTTTTCTTTTTTTTTTAAGTAGCTACACTGCACTCCTAAAGCACATTAAGCATTAGGTCAACTAAAACATCAGATCCTTTTTAAATAAATAAATGTTGAGCTAGTGTCTTTCCTTTCTGTACTTGTGCAACTGATTTTTAAACATAAACCAGGACTTTACATTTATATCGGTTAAATTTTATGTCCACAAAAGTTCTTGTGGTGTGGACATAAATTCGGGTTTTTGAAGACTATATCTTAAAGAGGTCAATGGGAAAAGACCACTATGCAGAGGCTTATTATAAAGAGGTTGGCTATCAGGTGATACTTTTTTTTTTGTCTAAAACAACCTATGAAACCCATTTTATCTTGTTAAGATTGTAATAAAAATGATCTGTCATCTGTTATATTAGCTGCCTCTTTCCAGCTCTGTGCCAACTGAAAAACTGATAAGCATACCTATGCTTTTATATACAATCAATGATGATAGTGTTGAATGGATAATAGGCATATCTCTATGGCCTTCTAATAAACATATATCTTTAGCCTGACTTCAGTACTTCAAAGATCTGTGGTTTCATCCATATGGATACTCTCTTTAGTTAATGTATATTACAATCCCTCCATCCCTTAATAAAAGTTTAATGAGTTGTCTCAGCCCCCAAAATAAGTGAATAATAAAATCATCACATCCAGTTCTCTTGGTGACAAGATTTCTCAGACAGGGTTGAACCTATCCTCAGATGACAGTATGTCATCAAACCCATCCCAAAGGCTTTTCTAATATAGCAAAACTTGCCAGAGCTTATGCTCTCTCTGCCAGCATAAGCTTCTTTCACCTATAGTCACATCCAAGTTATCTGAGGGGCTGTAACTTTAGCAGAGAAGCATGGTGATCCTGGACACGAGATGACAACAAGGCACTATTCAAAACTTTTTGGGTACAGCTATACCCAAATGACTGAAAATCCATTCAACAGTACTACTATTTAGCTCATGTTTCATCGCATAATCCAAGATTATTTTGTAGAAGCCATCAAAAAAAAAAGGAAATAAGATTTATTCTAAGTGAATTTCATTAACTCCTAATGATTGTTAATTTTTCCTTTCTGAAATCCTCAGTTTTAATAGGTGATCAGGATAGATAGGATCTCAGAAATCACAGGACCATATATTTAGAGCTGGAAGGACATTAAGTCCAACCCCATCTTTTTATAGATGAGGAAATTCAGGTACAAAGAGGTTCAATGACTTGCCTAAAGTCACAAAAGTAGTTTCGATGGCAGAATCAGGAACTGCCTCCCGGATTCCCAGTGGAATACTTAAAAACCACTCTATGTCATGTAGTACAACCTAAAATTACATACAAGGAAAAAGAAGTAGAGTGACAAAGTCACTTACCCAAGGAACAAACCCAGTCTCCTTACTCCCCCTTCCTGTGTTCTCACGATAAAACATTAAAAAGCCAGTACTAAAAGCTCAGGATGAACACACACTGCTGGTGTCACCTTTTGTCTCAGCTCAACAAGCTCAGACAAGCTATAATAACCGCCCACCCAGTGGGATGTGATATGCTTAGAAAGAAAACTGGTATTAGTCATTTTCTTTACAAGCTGTAAAAACTATAAGATTCCTGGCAGTTAAGTAGGGACATGAGAGACCACCTAGTCCTGCCCATTCATTCCTGAAAAAGAATTCTATAGCATTCCCAACAAGCAGTCATTCAGTACAAAGATTTCCAAGGAGCAACATACCTCACCTCAATCCACTTTGGGACTGCTCAAATAATTAGGAACTTTTTCTTTACAATGAGCCTAAACATGCTTCTTTGAAATTTCCCTTATACCCACTACTTTACTTCTGGTTCTGTCCTCTGGAACCAAGAAAAGTAAGATTAATGCCTCTTTCACAGGTTAGTCCTTCAAATACTAGAAAACTACTATCATGTTCCATTGTCTTCCTCTTCTCCGGGATCTGGGAATACACAGTTCCTTGAACTGATCTTATGTGGCATATTCTTCACTCCTTTCACCATTCTGGGGACTGTCTTCTGCACACATTCACCTTTATGTCACATGGCAAGAAGTGGCATTCAGAACTAAAAACAATACTCCAGTGCAGAATATATAAAAATTATAACCTTCTTGTTCTACACACTATGCTTCTCTCTAAAACAGAAAGTGATCACAAAAAGTCTGCCTGGCTTCATTAAGAACAGAATTTGGCAGTGTTTTTTTTTTTTTATTTGAAGTGGACGACTAGACTTTGAAATGTTGTCCAAGTACTTTACTTAGATTTAGCACAAAACTACCTCCTTAATGTGTTTTTTTAATTTTGCCAAGAATATGAATGCTTACTTGTCCCCTTCACTAGTTCTCTAACACACCACCCATTTTCTAAGATAGTTCAAAAAATTCTTGAAATCTACAAGTTCTTCCTAAGGTCTAGGCAGGGGGAATTAATTTCATTGAGGGAAGATAAGATTGTTGCCTGACCATCTGCCAGGGGAGGAGAACCTGCTGCCTTGAGGCCACAAGTGGCCTTCTAGGTTTTAGGTGAAGCCTTTATCAAAGGTATTTGTTCTACGAAGTTTGGATTTAGTCAAAGGGCCAAGTTTGAGGACCTAGAGGGCTTCGGGTTCCCCATCCCTGAATCTCTTAGTTTAGGCTTCAAGTCCTTGCTAACTACTTTGTTCTATTCTTCCACTTCTAAAAGGCACTTACCTCGGGAAAGAAAATAGACTAAAGGTAAGGGCTAAGTAGTATGACTCCTTATAATTACCCAAAATCACCAGCCTACATTACCCCCACAAATAATCCTTTATTTATTATCCCATTATCATCAGCCTACTTCCCCCAACCCCCTATACAATAATATCTTCATTAATCCTTCTTGGCCTAAAAAAAAAAAAAAGTTGCTTGTCCAATATAAACTTAAAGCAAAAAGAGTTAGATGTTCTTAAAGGCTCCTGTTTTTCCACAGCTAGACGATGCAGTGAATAGAATGCTGGACTCTGGTGTCAAGAAGACGCAAACTTAAATTCTGCCTCAGACACTAGTGTGTGACTTTGGGCAAGTCAATTTCTTCATCTATAAAATGGGGATAGTAACAGCACCTACTTCACAGGGTTGCTGGGAGGATCAAATAACATATGCAAAGAATTTTGCACACCTTCTATAAATGTTAGCTATTATTAAAATGAAATCTTAAAGCTCCCTATAAATGCTAGTTATTTTTTCCACCAAGGTAGGTTTGATTAATAAACTGTCTACATCCACTCCAGGAATTTTTGTCTAAAGAAATAGCATCAATACTTCACCACGACCAGTGCTGGGTAAACACTAAAACATCCTTATTTGGCTCTTTTTCTAGACTCCATAGAGATTAATAAATCAATAAACATTTTTAAAGCCCCTACTATGTGCCAGGCACTGTACTAGACATCAGGAACAAAAAAAATAGGCAAAAGACAGTCCCAGCCCTCAAGAAGCTTACAATCTAAACATAAGACTAACCTGGCAGACTATGTGTCCTGCTTACGTAACAATGCAACTGAGTAGATAACTTATTTTCTACAGATCAGACTTGTTATATGCCATCTCTTTAGGTTATATTACTTCTACAATCAGCTAATCTCATCCATTTTATCTTGTTTTTTCATTAGCTCTAATTTTAGACGACAATTTTAGCTCCTTAAAGTCTGGGGTAAGGGATCTTCCTACCTCCTTGGACTATAAAAACTGACAAACCAACTGTTTAATAAACTGGCCTAGAATTATATCAGGGATTGATGTTAAATTTACTGATGTTTCTAGAACCTGTTCTTTGCCTTTAAGAAAAAAATCAAACACTTGCTCTCCTCCAATCTGCTGGGTAGTTCTATTTTCATCATTACTAAAAAGTGTGTTCCCAATATCTCATCTTCAAAATCCTTCAGAACCAGGGGTTATTATTATAAGTCATCTGAATCTGGACAACTGATTCACTTAAAGGTGCTCCTTTACCATTTTCTCATTTATCTCCCCTTGCAATTTCCTTTTTACGGTTTTCTAACACTTCCAGTTTAAATGCCAGTATCTTTGCCCAGTGGAAACATAATAGGAACAAAGCAGTTCTGTCTTATGTTAGCAAGTTACCATTACACTCCTGCAAGCAGCAGGCCTTCCCTTTTTTATTCTTCTCCCCAGATATAACAACAAAAGAAATACTATATGATCCTCAGCAGTTTTTTTTTTTCCTAAGACCTATGGGCAGGGGTCATTTTAGGCCCTTATCCTTACTGAGACTCTTAGCTCTTTATATAAATTCTTAATGGAGGAAACTAACTTTCCTGAATGTCCTTTTTCCACTGTCCAGGAATTATGGGCTCCACTTCTTAAAAAAACAAAAACAAAAACAAAAACAAAAACAACTTCCAAATTCTCCTTGGATACCGTTTATGAAATCGATCTCCAAATGACCCATCTCTAGAAAAGCCCCTTTCCTACTCCAGTTGCTCAAAAGTAGTATACGCCACATATAAAGAATTCCAGTTCCTATTTCCCCTTCTCCCACTGATCAAGAGAACACATAAATCCTTTTAATAATAACTACACTTTAATGTCACAAATCGCTTTGCAAAAATCTCTCAGTTTATCCCCCAAACAACCTGGAGAAGGTAGATACTATACATCGAGGTAGAGGTTAAGTGATTTGTCTATGGTCACACAGTCAGCGTCTGGCCAAATTTGAAGTCAAGCCTTTCTGAATCCAGAAGTATTTTACAAACTCTAAAGTGATATAATAAATGCATCATTGTGCTAACTAGCTTTTATTTTTAGAGGGTGATGGTGGTAGGGAGTAACTAAACTTTTATAAGGAAGGTAAACTTCATTCTTCCCATGTCTTCCTTCTCCCTCTCATAGTTTACGGGTAAAAAAAATGAAGGGTGAGCTGCTGGGAACTCTTCTTCCCCTACTTGTCTTGGTAATTCTTAGTCGCCCAAAAACCGAGAGAACAGATCTGGAGGGAGGTGGCGCCCGGAACCCCAGAAGGAAGACCTCTGTCTAGGGGAGAAAGGGCGCCCCTCGGTCTACGTCAGAACCTCTACGTGAATAAACCTACAATTGTGCAGGCCACCCCGCCCCCCGCCCCAGCCAACTCTGGCTGTCTCCCCACCCCACCCCTAGGCGCTGGGGCTGCCCCGTCCTAGCCACGAAGACTGGCCAAGCGCGGAGGCTGCCCCACACCCTCCTTCAGGGCGGCTAGGACTCTCCTCTCAGGCCTCGGGGCTGCAACCCCTTTCCTCCCTCCTCCCACCCCAAATTTGGGGCCGCCCACACCCCAACGCGGCACGCCTTTTCCCCTCCCTCCCCCGGCACATTACCCGACGGTGGCTGAGGCATTCAAGCCCCAGCGGCTCCGGGCGAGGAGCCGGGCCCCTGCGATCGCCGCCCGGCTGAGCAAGGACATGGCCCAAGAGGGGACAGCGCCCCTCCGCCGGCGGCGAGGCCTCCCCTCCCCAGTTGGCCCGCGGCCCCGGGAGCCGGTCGAGTCTGTACAGGGTCAGAAGAAATTTTCCCCCACTCCCCCCTTCCGGGACAGACCGAGCGCGTCAGAGGAAGCGGACGCCGGGACGCCCCGCTCCGCCCCGCCCCGCCCCCGGGCCTTGCTGGCCATGCTGTGACCGGTCTCACCAGCGCCGACGTCCCCGCGGATGAGCGGCTCGGCGTCGCCACGGCTCCGCCCTGCGCTGTCCACGGTTCTCCCCGCGCTCCCGTTGCCGCGACCCGTAGGCTGCGCGGGGCATGGGAGGCGCGGGCGCGGCGGGTGTCGCTGCTGCTTCGCCTTCGCCGCCTTCTCTGATGGGACCGGCGGGGCGGACGGGCCGGGAGGAGTGAGCTCCAGGTGTCGGCCGGCGTCTTTCCCCCTGGTCCGGCGGCCTTTGTCACGATCAGAGCCCAGCCCTGGGTGGGTTGTCAGGCAGCCAGGGGGGTGAGGGTGGGGGAGACCCTCCCCAGCTGCAAGGACGGCGTCGGGGGCTGGCGATCCCCGGACCCGAGTCTGCAACTAAATTGCCGCCCCTGTATGTAGCCCAGAGCTCGGGCGAAGAATTATGCTTTGAGAAAGCTAATTGTTAAAGATAAATGTTACTATCTTCTGGTTTTGTCAAACCTACATTTCCCCGATTTCCCTTTCCTCACCCTTCCCGTATAATAACAAGTTTCTAAGCAAGAAGAAGAAACACATCAACCCAACAGCAATATACCGAAAAATGTCGGGCAATGAATTGTAATGTTCCACACTTGTGGACCTCACCTCTGCTTATGTCTCTTCGCGCTGAGCACTGTACCAGGCATCTAGTAAGAAAGGGCTTAATAGATGCTGCTTGTTTGCTTGGGGACCAAACTTGTTCTTTAGAACTTGGCAACATTCGCGGGGGGGGGGGGGGGGGGGGAAAGGAGAAACACAGCCAATTTTCTGGGTGACCTTAAAGACATACCGTGGCAGTTAATTTAAACGTCATTTTCCAAGCCAAGCAGTGATAATAGCAGCCCTTTGGGTTTTATACTGTACTCAGCTACATAATTATACGATGAGGATCCTCACCATCCTTTGCATTTTGCCTATAAGGCAATTATCTATATAACTTGCTTTTAAAGACAAATATGGACTTTATGGAAGCCAATGACAGAAATTGTCCCTGAAATTTCAGAAGCATTGATTGGAACCAGCTGGATTGTTTGTTTTGTTTTATTCTTCATGATAAAATAGCTGAGTTTATGATTCTGATTGCCAAGGTACAAATCAGAACTCTGTTTCTGATTGGGTTCTTTATTTTCATACTGCATGGTAACCCATAAAGCACAGACTATGTCACAGAAGTACTTCCAGGGGTCTCTGATCTCACTGAGGTGGGTACTCCCTCCAGTGGTACAACCCAGGTGGTAGAATACAGTTGGAGAATGAAACATAGGCTGTCCAACGTGGTAGATGTATTAGGTTGTTTTGCTTAATTTTACTTTGTAGTGAGGGAGTGTTCTGTTGGGGTTTATTGAGAAATGGCATCAATGAGGGGAGGGAGGGAACCATGCTTTAATATTAAACAAATATGCTAGGGGAAGGGAGGGCAGATGATGTATCTTCAGTTATAAATCCTATGATTCTATGAACCTAAAAGTTGAGAATGGGGTCTTCATCATAATTACATGACTGTATAAATCAAAGGGCTATATCATTCCTTGGCTTGAGAATGGGATCAGTTCTTAAAAAGTTGTTGTAGGTTGTAGATAAAGCCTAGGTTAAGTGCAGGATTTTTCAGGTAATTGGTTATTTTAGTACCTGCATACTCCTGTGGCTGTTTCAAGGAAAAGTATCTTTCCATCCTAAGTTTTGCGTGCATTTACACCAGTAACTTTTTTTGTGTTTTCCTCAGAATAATAGGGCAAGCTACTAGAGTAGAATTTTTTTTTTATAATAGGTCTGTATTAAGAAGTTTCTGGGTTCTTCAATTGCCCTGTACCTGTAAACATGGGGTGTATGGAGTGCTAAGGGCGGACTAGCACCTCTGATGTGAGGACTTGCTGAGCTCTTTTCAGGGCTGCTTAACCATCTTTGGTGTCCAGTCAGTCACCCAACTCTTACCTGTGGCTCCCAAGAAGCTGTAGCACACACAGTGGCCACACCCTGGGTAAACCTTCCTAAGCAGAGGCAAAACCAGGTTGAGGGTAACCGACAGGCTGTCCCCATTGCTCTCCCACCCCATAGGAAAGTACAGGTGAGAACATTTTGTTCCAACAGCCGTGAAAGTGACTGAAAGCAGGCATTGTGGAGCACTTAGAACCTGGTCAGACTTACAAGATGCCAAGGTCATCCACTGCAACCCGGGCCATTTCCAGTTGTCCTGACTTTTATCCTACCACTGGATTTTGATGACTGAAAGAGTGAGGCTGATGACTTTACGCAATTTTGCCTTACTTAAATCCAGTTCACACACGAGACATCATCCTGTGATGTCATTGGTTCTCTTTGGCAAAGAACAAACATCAACCTATAAACATAATTTAAGAACATCCAATGAAGTCAGCAAGCATTTAGTAAGTACTTGCTATGTGCCAGGCATTGTACTAATTTAGAATTTAGATTATGAAAATAATACACCTGTCACTATAATTTTCCATGAGTCAACATAATGGTGTTTAGAACATTATGCTTTAAGAAAAATCACAAACATTTAGAATGACTTTAAGTAATGACTTTCAGATTACTTGGAATTTAAATCACAAGATTTTATCTTTTTTTTATACATAAAAGAGCATGAGAATTAGCTTTAAGTACTAACATATTCATGTTAACCCATATCTTGGACTGTTGTATCAAATATCAATTAAAAGAAACCTAGAAGTGCTGTCAGTCCAGCCTGTTACCCAGGATGGTAATAATGGAAATAACTACCTACCACGTTGCCTTCATGAAAATGAGGATGTGTGTAGGAATTTTTTTAGAGTCCTCAAGTGTTCAGTTGAATGCTCTACACCCACCCCACCCCCCAAATACTTGAGGCACTGTGTTTCTCAATGGAGGAAATTAGAAAAACAGAGGCTGGAAAATTCCTAAATATAGTCCTGAAATAAGGCCTGAACTGCATATATTTATAAAGGCCTGTGCCCAGGCCAACTATGTCATGCAATTGGTAAATATTAATAAAGTGCCTATGTGTCAAGGGACAGTGCTAATGGGAATGCAGTAAATAAACAAACAAACGATAGTCCCTGCCTTCAAGGAGCTCACAATATAATGGGGAAGATAACAAGCAAACACATGTGTACAAATGAACTATGTATAGGATACATAAGAAATAACACAAATAAGGCACTAGAATTAAGAGGAATTGGGAAAGGCTTCCTGGAGAAGGTTGAATTTTAGTTGGGACTTGAAGGTTGGGACAGGAGGCCAAGAATGGAGGACAACCAGAAAAAATTCTGGGATAACATCTTGTTGGAGGTATTGTAAGGAGGCCACTGTCCATCAAAGAATATGTGGGGGAATATGAGATGTGAAAAAGACTGGAGAAGGGGGAGGGAGGTGTGTATGTGAGTAGATAATGAAGGGCTTTGAACACCAAACAGAGGCTTTTGTTTTTTTATCCAGGAGATGATAGGGAACCACTACAGATTATTGAGCAGAGGGTGACTGAGTCAGACCTGAACCTTAGGAAAATCACTTTGGTCCTAGCGAACAATGGACAGGAGTGGGGAGAGATGTGACAGGGAGAGCAACCAGCTATTGCAATAGTCCAGATGTGAGGTAATGAGGGCCTGCACCAAGGCGGTGGCAGTATCAAGAGATAGGGGGGAATGTTGGAGAGATGTTGGTAAAGGTAAAATGGACAATAGATTGGATATGGAGGGTGAAAGACAGTGAGGAATCCAGGATGACACCTAAGTTGTGATCCTGAGGAACTGGGAGGATGGTCTTCATTGCCGTCCAGGATGCACTCTGGCTTTTCTCTATTGCTTGAAGCCTCCCTCCAACCCTGGAATTCACACATAGGAAGTGTCCTGGTCTCTGCAGCCTCTTATTGGGGTGGGTCTTCCCAGAACCTCCATCTTTGAAGGGAGCCCAGGCCCGTGTCTGCTAATCCTCTCCAGGCTGTACTCTGAAAGTACAAGGCAAAATTTTGTCTATTCCTTCCTGGCCTTTCAACCTCTTTTTGTGTTGTCTTCCTCCATTGCAATGTATGCTCCTTGAGAGCAGGGACTTGTCTTTCTACTTTGTTTTTGTATTTCCTACCTTTAACACAGTCTAGCTCATAGTAAGTGCTTAAATGGCTATTGAAATGCTTATTGAGTGATGCAGTACTGAGGAGGAAGGCTGGGGGAGATTCTGTGGAATTAGGTCTGAAAGTGCCATAACTTTTATCACCTCATTTCCCTGATGGATGTTGTAGAGATCCTCAAATATAAAAGGAATTTAACTGAGTGTACAGTAGAACAAAGTAATTTACATCAGCTTTTTCTTGACCTCCACTTGGCATCATCTCCTACTTAAAGAACATTCCTATAGCCATAAAATGTATGTTTTCTAATCCCAGAGTCTTTATAGGTTTAAGAAATCAAAACAAAATGCTTTCTATTAAGAGGTAGGAAGATTTTTTTTTAGAGATATTATTTAAAGGATTGAATAAAAAAAAGATATGCAGTGCCATCTGGTGTTCAAAGTATAGTATTGAATACATTTATTCTTTGGATCTTTTCCCCCTTATCATTACAAGTAACCAATATTAATTAACCATTCTCTTATTTTTGCTTGTAAAGAGGATAAAATATTGATTGAATTGTTACCTTTTTTTTAATTCAAAGAGAAAAAAAATAAAGGAGTCTAGAAATAAAAACCTAAGAGGCCGTAAAGAATCTAAGAATTGTTAGTTTAGTTGATAATGGTTTTGTCCTAGAAGGGACATTGGAGGTCATCTAGTCCAATATCTCATTTAGG